AAGGAACTGACTGAATGTCAGAGGGCCAGAAACCATGGTCTTAACTTTTCAGCAGTGTCATTAGTTGTCACTTGCATTCTAGACAGAAATTTTAAGAAATGAACCATGAATCTCAGAACATGGATCCAAGAGCAGAGAAAAAAAAAAATTATAAACAACCCAAAAAATCAATATTTATTTTCCCTTGTGTTTCCCTACATATTTACCATGTACCACAGTATGATATTCAGGGCAGAACCCTAGGAAGCATCTTTTTAGTTTTGTTTGCCAGTCTAGTTTATTAAGTTTTACAGTCTCAGTTGTGTAATATTGGCTTTGCAGATATGACTGTGGTCAACTAGCAGAAAATTGCCTTTGCTGGTTTCAAGGAGCAGTGCTAGGGGAAATAAAAGAGTGCCTTGTAATATGTATGATTTGTGCCAAAATTAACTGATGGTCATTCTACACTGGAATAAAGGCTGTTATTTATGTCCAGTGAGATGTCAGCTGTAAATCCAGACCCTTCTTCCTCCTGAGCAAAACTGAAACTTAAAGTGAAGTCCTTAATATTTAATATCTCTGCTTGATGCACAGTATTCTATGTATATGATAATCATATTTTGGTTTTGGTGCACTTTTCATTTTAAAAAGAATTATCATATGTCAAAAAATCCATAAGGGAAGCTCTGTAGGAACTCCTTGACAGAGGATAACTCACTTGTTGCTTCAACGACAGGATAAAACACCTGTATTCCTTACTGGTGGGCTTTTTTTCAGCTGCCTGGGACACTGAAAAGATTTGTCAGTTTCTCCTACTATTGTCACCAGATGGCTCAACACAGTCTGTGTCAGTGCTGCCCCATCACAGATATGAGTTTTCCCCGCATATTAGTGAATATTTTAGGACCTTGGCAATAGTTGTACAGAACATACATAAGTATGAAACTCACACCTATATTTTTTATTATAATTATTTCCCTGTAGAGAACAGAGATGTGAGCAAAAGGCTTATCTTGTATAAATCTGTAGACCATGGTTTGAAACCCAATTTACAGTGGAAGTCTGGCATACAGATCTCCAGTGAGTATGAAATATCATTCAGTAGAGTTGGCATAATGCATCTAAGGATAATCAAGTCTTTTTTGTTGTTAAATTTGACCTAGGCTAGGCTTTGCATAGTGGGTAGCCATTGCTGTAGTTCTTCAAATTAAAAGTGCTTCTTTATGTTCATAATATTGGCATAAGGTTACCTGAAAAATTAACAAAGCACTTTGAGGGAGTAGTGCTGGTTCTTGTTAATAGCATATTAAATCTATAAATCTAGATTTGGAATTGATAGCATTTGTTGATGCTACTAATGTCAACAGGCCCAGCCTTTTGCTTAAAACTAAGTGTTTTGATTAATTCTAATGTGACAATTCAGGATTTGGAGAAACTAGTGCCTTAATCCTAGGCACCTCTAGCCAACTGTTTATCATCCTAATGCCCTTCTGTTTGATATTTACTTATTTGAACATTGCTACCTTACTCTTCTTGCAAATCCATGTTAGCATTGATGTCATAAAGTAAGCAGAATGAATGTGTGAAATTGCTTGTAAAATTATCAAATGAAATGAATAGCAAATATGATGACTTTTTTTTAAAGTTGGATAAGGAAACTGTCAGCAATGATGCACTCTGGTAATGCTTACTAGAGCTGAACAGTATATATATAAGTCTGTGCAAAAGAGGCAGCGAGGCAGATCTCAGGATCCTCAAGGCTTTCCATAGTTCCAGAAGAGAGAGTAGCAGATCTTTCTACAACTGCTACATATCACTTCAAAATATAAAAGGTAAGATCTATGTGAAGTACTAGTACAATTCATCTGAGAAAGCTGAATGCATTTTCTGAATTGTATTGTCAAAAGATTGCAACAGAGATGCAGGATCTTTCAACAAATTGTTGTTTTCTTCTGTGGTTATACTTCTTAATGTTTGAAATTAATGACATCACCATTTACATTTTTTTAATCTATTGAGTTAGTTTTACAGAATAATCCCAAAATGGAACATCAACTACTAGGATTGCAGAAGCAATTGAAAGAAGGAAAGTTAAGCATATAAAGATGAAAAACAGGCATTTTAGTATGAATTTAAATGTGAAATACAAAACTATTGATATTTATGTTTTTATCTACTTCAGGGATATTTAATGAACATTATTTTAAAAATATTCATTCCTTACAGCTCCTTCCTAAATATGAATCAATATAGATTAACTTGGGAAAATGCAAACAAAATAAATGGGTCTATAGGGATATTGACTGAAAATTGTCCGAAACAGCTTGTCACTCCATCACCCTACAGATTACCACTCCATTGCCCTACTTTCAGATTAGTCCATCTCAAAAAATTGTTATTTTCATATCACTGTAAGATCTCAATGAGAAATTTTATAGCATTAAAAAAAAATTAAAACGTTTCAAGTTATTTTGCTTTTTGTATAAAATTTAATTTAGATTTCTGGTCTGGACTTCCTGAGGCTAGAATGATTGATTGTTTTTTTACAGAACTCTCCACATTGCTGCAGATAAATAGATATAAAGCACATCTATCCAAAACAGTAATGCACTAGCAACTAGAAATAATTACTATCTGTAATTGTTGCTTTGATAGAAATCTACTTTATTCACTCATATATTTTAATTTGTAATATTCCTTTTTTTTTTTTTTTACTGATGTCATTCCATGCTTTTTATTTTTAAACTGAAAATGGATACAAATCTGACTTATGATTTTTTTTTTTTTTGAAAACTCAGTAACATTAAGTTAGTATAACTTGCACAGTATGCAAAAGATAACTACAGCAAAATACATGGGAAAACTAAAAAAATTAGTTTGATCAAGAAAATAATATTCCTGTCATATTTTCTGATAGCTCAAAGTGAGATCTTTTTGATTAGAAATGTTTTTCATAAGCACTTTCTATGTGAAATTAGCTTTAGTTTTCCTGCACCCTAACAAAATCCCTGTGTTTTTCTTTTTATAATATAATTTTTTTTCTTTAAATACCACGTTTTCTTTAACTTGTAGAAAACTGCTGTTGCTGGTTTGGATTAGAAATGGCAAGTACTAAACTCTGAACAAACTAAAGAGTTTCTAAATTTTTAGGAAAATATGTTTGACAGAGGTTTAACAGCTAGTCAGTACATTTTAAAATGTTTATTCTATTGATGGCCGGGTTTCTCTTACTTGAAAATGTGATTAATTTCCAAAACTGCATATATACAGTTTTCTTTTTGTTAATCTTCTCAGAATTTGATTCTTAAAAATTTAGAAACAAGTTCTATACACATTTAAATTTAAACATATTTTTAATGCATAAAGTAGCTAGTGGAACTGTTCGTATCTAAAAGCCCTATAGAACTGAGAGTTAGCTCAAGATATGATTAAATCATTGAAAATCTGTTTGTCAGTTACATTGGGCTTTAAATATTTATTTTCAAGTTTTATACATCACAATAGCTTTTTTTGTCTGATATTATTATAAACAGACTGGATTAAAGATGAGGCTATTTCTTTCACTCCATTTCAGTGACTTAGGTTTATGTCTAAACTTTATCGTGATTCAACAGTAGTACAATCAGTAGTGAAATATATATCCTGTTCTAGTTTTTCAAATTAAGTAGAAGTATACTAGTTTGTTTGTATAATACCTGGACTCTATTTGGTGTCTGGGCTAACTAATTTATAGCTATGTCAGCTAGCATGAGGGTCACTATACAGAAATCAAGCCTTTTTTGTGATCATAGCAGGGTAATTTCCCTAAGAATAAGGCAGAGCTTTTGTTGTGCCACTGAAAGCCTATGAAATATGAAATTATGCATTCTTTGGGACTAACATTGGATGTCAGTGTTGCACCACCAAATTACAGCTCCAAGTGAAATAGCAAAAAGAGAGTTTAATATAATAGTTAAGATTATAATAGGACTGAATGACTACATGGCCACTCCATTGTTTGTTGTTACTACAGGTATGTTTTATGGAGATGTAGGAAACAAATTTCATATATGACAGCATTACAAAAGCATTACAAAAGAAAACACGTAACACACACTGTGGAGAAAAAAGAAAAAGGTACTGTCAGTAGCTTCCGGTAGAGACAAGAAAATTGACTCCATTTAATATAATAAAATCCACCAGGAAGTCTTATATTCATCAATTCGTTTTCCCATTTTTTATTAAGATTTAATTAAGATTTTGAATGACTAAATATTTTGATACTGGCATTGAGGTATTGAAGCAAAATAGCCTGGATTCCTCCAGGGCACTGTATATTTAAATCCAGCCTATTATGACAAGGCATAGAGAATATACATATTTTCTTTCAAATTGAATTTACATATCAAATTATCAGAGCTGGAGAAGTTTAGTGCAGATTACATTTAGTGGGAATGGTGTTTATAGCTGGATGCTATTATTACACCTATGACTTTACTTCAGTGCATTCATCTTTTCTATTTCACTTCTTTTTTTCAGACTGTAACATAAAATTCTATAGGAAAATTTCATGGATAGCAGAAAGGCTCCGTCGAAAAGTGTCAGTCCAAGTTCATGATAATGATGAAAGTATTTCCAGTGACATTTTGAACATGTGAACTCATGAATATTTACTATTCATTATTCAATGATTTAGCATTTACTCATTGAATGAATTGTGTATTTGAAAGCACCTAGCAACATTTTAAATCAATTTCCTTGTTTATACAGTCATTCCACAAATTTAAGTGATCAAAACATCGATGAACAATAAACAATGCTTATGGATTTTGTAAGCAGATTTCCTTTCATTTCCTGCTTGCACAGACAACCTCAGTGCTTTTTAGACTATTAAACTATCATAGTCCATTTTGCACTGGGTTTTGTAAGACCCAAATGAAATGCATTCATTTTGTAAACAGTTTGCCCTACACAGGATTATGTGTCAACAGAGCTATTAATATATTAAATAACGGAAATCATAGCACTTAATTAGAAAATTGGATTATGCTTTTTTTTTTTTTTTTTTTTTTTTTTTTTTTGCAATGTGACAATTCAATAAAAGTTTCAACTGAACTACTTATATGAGTAAACCAGTCACTTACTCAAAAAAGACACTCACAGTTTGGCTGTAAATCACCAGCACATTTGTAAATAAATAAATACTATAAATTACATTGTATAATCTCACAATAAAGTCAGCGAGTCCTGAAATTATTAGAGTGCTTGTGATAATAATTTACCCATTTCTTTTGTGTGACTAAAGTCAATGGAATGACCTGAAACAGTAAGAATTATACCTGGAAGACAGTATTTTCTTTTTTGATTTGTTAACATTAAGACAAAGTATATTCACTGTATCTTGTATAACCCATGAAACCCCATAGTGGAAGTGGTTAAGCAAAACAGAATATTGTGTTGAAGGTGCAAGAAGCAGACCTTGGAATATCCTGCCATAAATTGTTAAGCCATTGTGAGGCTTAATTTTTTTTCTAAGTAGTCACCTAGTAATATGGCATTTACTCAAGAGGCACTGCTGCAATATGTGTTATTTCCAAAAAGTAACAAAATTAAGGGAGTGTTACAGGTCAGAAAGAACAAGGAGCTGCTGATATGACCGCATTCCTGACAGAAATTTGCTTTACTTTGTCTCTACTAAAGGAAAAAGTAGAAGTCATACCACTGCCCTAGTTTTGCAGTAAAACAATGTTATGGAAATAGATACAATGCTTGCCATCAACAGAACTTAGAGCAAAGGACATAAAGACCTTTTACAAAGGACACAGCTACTCTCAGCTCACCTTACAATCCTGAATATAGAATAAAGCTTAAAGACTAGAGCAGAAACTGTATTTTTTGAATGTCTGCCCAAGGCAATTTAGACTCTATTCATTACACAGGATCTCAATTTCTTCAAGCACTGATGATGTTTCTTTCTGATGCAATTGATTCAGTGATAAGTAAAGATGATTACATATTTCTTTGTTGTCTTTCTTCTGTTTGACAGGCAATGAAAATGAAAAGTATTTATTTTATTGCTGGACTCCTTTTAATGATAGTCCAAGGCAGCTGGCAAAATCCTCTTCAGGATACAGAGGAGAAATCAAGGTAAATTCTTAAGATCAACCTCCTAAAAACCCTTAGCCTGAACTTTGCTCTCTTATTGTTCAAAGCAAAGCATACCATGATTTATAGTAAGTACTTAATCTACCACTGGAACTGGTAAAAGCTTTTAATGTTGCAAAGTGTGGCACAGTCGCTTTTGTTATTTTAAATAGTAAATGCTTTCGTTATCCAATAAATCTTGTAAATGTGCAGTATCCAAGCTACAATATTGTTTCATTTTACTAGCCTGCTAACAATCAAAAATATGCCACTTTTTTCACCTTATAAATGATATTGTTAAAAGAAATGTTAGTACACCTGTATGTAGTTAAAAGAAATGTTAGTACACTAGAATGTACTGCAGCTATTGCCAGTTAACAACTTCTAAACTTTTCTTAGATCATTCAAAGCTTCCCAGTCTGAACCATTAGATGAATCTAGGCAGCTGAATGAAGTAAAGCGTCATTCACAAGGCACATTCACCAGTGACTACAGCAAATACTTGGACAGCAGACGAGCTCAGGATTTTGTGCAATGGTTAATGAGCACTAAAAGAAATGGGTAAGAGTTTTTGGTCACATTGCTCTATCCATGCTGATAAAACAGCCAAAAATCTGAATGAATTCAATTTCTTTATTTCAGCTTCCCATCACAGACCACATGTAATCCTCAAATTACTAATGTACTTAGTGAAAATTTATACATAACTTTAATATGTTATTAGAAATTGGGAATATGTACAACATTAGTCAAAACTGATTGGATAAATTAGTCACAGTGTCATTATATTATCTAATATGTGATCTAAAATGAACTGTATCTCAGCCTCTTTGGGACAGATTGTTCGTTCACTGAAACAAATTTCAATATGTATGAGGTACACAAATATCGTGTAAAAATATAGCCGATGAGCCTTAGTCTTTCTTAGAACTTTCTGCCTGTGGTTGCTTTAATCCTGAGGTTTCATTTGTGAAAAGAGAGTTGAGATTTAAGCTTAATTGACCAATGGTCTACAAGTGTTCTGTTGAGGCATGAGTTGGCATGGTTTTCTGAAGGTACAGTTTGTTTAAACAAAGGCTAACAAGCTAAGAGCATGAATAATGAAATAACAAGTAATTCTATGCCCTGCATTCTGGAGAAGATCTGCCCACAATATCAACAAATCTTTTATATTAATCTTTTAAATCACTGTGGAAATCTTTAAAGTAATCATTTCTAGATATAGTATTAATTTAAGTACATAAGACTGAAAATATTTACAATGTTCATCCATCATTCATGGTTGTTTATGATAATATATAGATAATAACCAATAGAATTTTATCAGCTCATTCATGCTCTGCAATGTACTGCTAATAATGATCTAATGGTTGTGGAATTCCACTACAGCCAACAAGGACAGGAGGACAAAGAGAATGACAAATTCCCGGACCAACTCTCAAGGTATTCTATTTGCTATGGAATTGTTACTCAAAAAAAGTTGAGTTAATTTTCTGTTAAAAAATAAATAAAGTGGTATTCTTTAAAATGTTAACATAATCAGAGAAATACTTATCAAAAGAAATTATGCTGCATCTGTGCTTTTTATGAGGAAAGAGAAAACATCTGTTTTTCATGCCTGTACTTGTGTGCTTTTGTTATCTGCAATGACTTCAAGAATTTGAATAGCATGAGAATAAGACATACCAGGAAAGGATATCCCAAATAATACAGGAGAGTAGACTAGAAAATGAGATTGGGGAAAAAAAAAATAACAAAACAAACAATTTGGGCTGAAGGCTTAAATTTTGTTTCCTATGATTCTAGAAGAGAGGTTAATGGGTCAGAAATTTGGAAAAAACAACAGCCACAAAAACAAAGCTCTGCCAAATAGATAGAAATACTTCGATTTATTTTTTCTTTTGTCAGAAAATCCAGAGAGGGCATCTTGGATTACAATAATCCTTCCACTCTAAATGCTGTCAATATAATACTAAATCTTTCAGCTTCAGTGAAACAGCATATCTTAACAAAATTAATGTTTTATCACAAATGTTTCAAACTCTAGTTAACATGCTGATGGAAAGTACAGATGGTACGAAATTAGGAGGAATGGTGAAATCCCAGGAAGACAAAAAAATAATAATAATAATACAAAATACTAACGGCCCTGAAAATTTGGCAGAAATCAGCAAACTCTGAAATAGAAACTCAAGGGAATTTTCATGGGAAAATATTCCAAAACACGTCTACTTCTCAATGCAGCTTGTCTTCGTAAGGGTCAATGTGACATAATTTTGCTATAAATTAGAGAAAGAAGCAGGAGTAGGACTGGGAAGCAATTTCTTTTCTATTAGGCTAGAGTTTATCGAGTTTGAAATTGTTCCAAGATTATTACTTTGTTGAAAACAATGGATATTCACAAAACAATTCAAAATGATACAGAGAAACATCAAAAATATAAGTCTGAGGAGTTTGGCTGAGAAATGATGAAGATGAGTGCAGGAGGAGTGATTTAATGGAATTTTTAGTTAGTGCAGTTAGAGGTAACAAAAAGTATGTCTGTAGAATATAGAATCACAGAATATGGTAGTTTGCTGTGCTGAGCTAATTCACCTAGCAGATCTTTCCAATGCAGTTATACATGCTTTCAGTACCTTATTTTTTTAGAACTAGTTCAGTTAACAAAAAACTGTACTGTGTAGTACATACGTTGCTTTCAGAACTGAAAAATGAAAATATCAAGAGTAACTGGAGAAGCAAAGAAAAATTCTCTCTCTGATACAGAATGTTTAGTGGGAAATTTTAATTATTAAATGGCTCCTCTTTCAGCAATGCAATTTCCAAGCGTCATTCTGAATTTGAGAGACATGCTGAAGGTACCTACACCAGTGATATCACCTCTTATTTGGAAGGTCAAGCTGCCAAAGAATTCATTGCTTGGTTAGTGAATGGACGAGGAAGAAGAGAGTAAGAATCCATCCATTCCTATTATTAAAATTTGCTTTGCTTTCAAGGTTAGAAATCAAATCTGATGAAATCTTGATGTATTTTTGATCATTTCTACTGTACTTCATGTTTTCCTTTTGTAATAGAAGATACTGTGTGGCTGTTAGACTACCATCTTAAGTTATTAAGTTCAAACATAGATTGAAACAAACATGTTCAGTATACTGTTACACTCTGAAAGGTCAAATTATATTTAAGATCAATATATGTAAAACTAAACCAGAGTTTCCTCTAATTATCACCTTTTCCTCATCACATAACATTGCTTACAGTCTCCTTAACTCTCACAGAGATGAGTCACGTTAGTGTCATCTTAAATTTCTTTCTCTTTTTCTCTGCCTTTAGTCAGTCATTCTCTCTGCAATATTTCCAAGATTAAATTTGTACCAATGTCACTACCACCACAGCCATTTTCCATGCCCTGGTGATCATTCCCAGCAGTTACTGATATCTTCTTTTGCTCTTCCTATTATCTGCAAAGTCTCCACAAATTGTAGCATCAAAAATAACCACAATTTCCTACAGTTATCCCTTATTTTCCTTTTTAAGGCACCTCTATTTCTTTTGCTATAGTTCACAGTTTCCAAGATTCAGCCGCATAGTTTTGATTCAGGTACATCTCAGTTTTTTTTCATTATCTTGCTCTCCATATATTCAGTGCAGATTTCTCAAACCTATTCACTTCATCTGCTCACTCATGACTTTGTATCTTTTTCATGATAGACTTACTCTTGGAACAGCCTTAATTTCAGGCACTTTCTGTTTTATCACCATTCCAAGTCAGTGTGGTTAAGAGCTACATCATGCACATGTCACTCACTAGCTTTTAACTGTTCTGTACTTTTTGTGCTTGTAGACTGTAAGCTCTTCGGGGCAGGGATTTCAGTTCATCCCATTATTATATGTTTTGCTAGCTGTAAAGTACTATGTAAATCTCTCATATTATCTAAAAATAATAAATAACAGCAACAATAAAATATAATCTGTAAGACAAGATTGTGTGTTGTAGTCAAGGAAGACTAACTAGGTAAAAGTAAATTTTGAAAATAATGATGAAAAAATAGTGCTAAGTAAATGAGATCAAGCTATACAGATAAGGGAAAGGCTGGTGCCACTTCCAGTTGATGTTCAGATCTGCAGCTGTTTGTTCTGTTATCTTTTATTTACATGAGCAGAGATAGCTTATTTTAGTATTTATAACAAAGAAAGATTACAACTGAGTTCTGATGACCTGAGCTTAAAAACCTAGACAAGCAATTACACACAGAGCAGCCTCCTACTTCATAATATTTAGTACTATTTGCAGTCAGACTTGAATGTAGCTTTTCCTAAAATTAGTACATAAAAAAAAACAGTTTGCCTGTCGCTGATCCCAGACCATAGTGTGCCTCAATCAGCAAACCTCACAGGAACCTAACAAAATCTTCCTTTATTTGATGGTTTGAAACAAGCTTTCTAAATAATTCCCTTGGTAAAATGGCTTTCCAGTGGTCAGAAATGGATGCATCAAGATTTGTGATAGGATTCCAAATACAAAATTCTATTGTGCAACAAAAAAGCACATAAATTTAATACAGATGTTTGAATTCAGTTATTTTATTCCCCCAAAATCTACTGCTTTTACTGTTTAAATACCTATGCAACATAATTGTAAATATAAAACTAGGACTTTAAGAGTCAAATGGAAAAATCTGTATGAAAATTTTATTGTAATGTTTTAGTAGTGATATTTCTTTAAAAAATGATTCTTAGTAAATCTACTGTGAGTTTTATGGATGCCTAGTTTATTTGGCATAGATGTTGTTGACTTAGTTATGTTTTTGCATCTATAGCTTTAAAAGAAAATCCATGAAAAAACACTAAAGAGAAATCTAGTCTAGAAGAAGACTAAAGGGAGAATTTGATGCTTTCTTCTGTTGTTAAAATTATGCTTCATAAGATGTTCTGATATGCTTCATGCTATGCAGAGTCATAACATCTGGCTGAATCTTTAACCCTTTAAAATAAAAGGAAATTTTCAGTAATTAAGAACCTATAATAAGGCCCTTTTATCAGTTTTTTTTTTGCTTTGGACTTACAAATTGTTTCATAATTTCTTTCCTCTGAAGTTTCCCAGAAAAAGCTTTAATAGCTGAAGAACTGGGCCGAAGACATGCAGATGGCACTTTCACAAGTGATATCAACAAAATCCTGGATGATATGGCTGCCAAAGAGTTCCTAAAATGGCTGATTAACACAAAAGTTACCCAAAGGTGCCTGAATTTTGATCATATTTATCTTAATATATTGTTAGGTTTTTTAAAAAGTATATTTGTCTCACAGTGAAAATACAGCTCACTTTTCTCTTAAGTAGGAATACACGTAACAGTGTTACAAACCCTATGTTACAGACAGCAATGAACAAGGGTATGACACTATAAAAAGAAGTCATTCCAAAAAGCTACTTAAGAACCACTCTTTAATTTCTTTGTATATAGGCAAATGCTGTTGGGAAAAGAGCACTTTCTATCTGAGCTCTACAAACAGATTAATATTTGAGGATTATTTGTTGACACTGACAAAGCATTTCAAAACTAATGCAGTGTCCACTTAAGGCACATGTGCAGGCCAGATTTTCTAAAATGTTGGATGTCCGTTGCAAAAGTTTATTAACTTTGCCTTTTAACTCCTAAAGGACCTCAAATCTCTAATTAATCTCAGAAATATGAAACAGCAAAAAAAATTTTTTTGATTTTATAGTTAAAACATGGATTTGAATAACAATTTCATATTTTTGTGTTTGTTTGTGGTTAAGCACTGAAATAATTGATTTAAGAAAGTCATCTATTTGAATCTATTAAAAATCTTTTTCTTTAGGAATAGTTTTCAGTCTTTTATTAGAGAAAAGCATTAAGGGATTTGTGGAACTAATATCTGCTAATTCTTAACAAGAAGAAAAAATATATTTCATGCATGTGACAAATTTATATTGTGTCCTAATTGCTGCTTTTTTTTTTTTTTTTTTTTCTCCAGAGATCTCTTGGGAGAATATCAATAAGAATGCAGGATAAAAATGGGATAAATGAAGATCTTCACTGCCTCAATTGCCAGTTATGAAGAGATTCTGAAATCTATATTGTCATTTACATTGGGTGTAACAAAGCTATGTCACCTTGCATGCCAGGAAATAATTGTAGTTTCATTTAATGTTGCCAGAGGATTATATATGGAATACCTATCATCTAAGGGATGGTTATCAAAATAGCTTTAAGATTATGAAAGTTCCACTTCTTCATATTTTCCACTTATTTGGACTGAAATAACTCCATTTATATTTACTTATGAAATTATTTTTCTAAAAATTGATTTATGCACGCAAATGATTCAATCACCAGTTAATATCTATGGGCTGGCAGCTGCAAATGTCTGAAAAGTTAATATCCCTGTCGAAACCTTTGTTATAAAAAGGCTAAGCTTTAAGGATATTAAATAATAGCCTTAAATAAATTTTTCAAGCTTCTTTTCTGTTGACTTTTTGTCTGTATATCCCTTTTGTCTGTTTCCACTCAATTTTATTTTATTCTAATGTTATTGTCACTGAGATCTTGGAACTGGCTTGTTCAGAATGATAAAAGAAAATCAGTATTTTGTCAATTTTTCTCTATTATGATTTTATGAGAAAAACTGTATAAAATTTGATTATACTTAGCTGATAAAGAATAACCTAAGATGAAGCTAGAGATGGAAGCAAGACTGAACAGTATTCATTAGCATAAATGGCTGTTTCTCAGAGAAGCAGGACAGATTTGAAAAATATTAATTAAAATTTACTTCATTAATAGTGGTAACACCTAATACTGTCCAGGTTTATAAGACTGCTGAGTAAAGCCAACTCAAATGGCCCTGAGATCATTCTAATAATCTATGTTATATTCTTTTCTTCCTTATTCCTCTGAAAAGCACTGTATCCATCACCTCTTGCAGTTAACAACATTGTAATGAAACTTGTAATAACAACTGCGATTTTAGTAACTTATACCTTCTCCATTATGTTCACAGAACACTTTGCCTGCAGATCTCAGTGTTTCTAACATTTCCTTTCAGTTGGCCAGGATGTGTTTTTGTATGTATGGCTGTAACTGCAACTCTCAAATAAGTCAAATAGCTTCAGGTGCTTTTATGAATTTCTTCTTATTAGTTCTCAGTCCCTTATTCTTCCCTTGACATAATAGCAGTATGCCAGGTATACGTACTAAAATGTCCTAATGCCCCCATTAGTGTTTTAAGAGAAAACCAATGGTCTCAGCAAGCATCTAGCAGAACGGGTATTGAATCAGAACTGAAACCTATAATTTTGTTAGGAATAACTAGTTTTATGTCTCCTTTGTTTTTTAAAGACATCTACAACACTCACTAATGGTCTGGAATTTATGGATAGATTGTCCTCTGAATATGGTACAAGAAATATTCTGTAGTTTCAGATCAGAACTGATCACACCCAAATTGGTACTTAAGCAGATTTTTGAAAGCAACATTAATCCAACCTAAAGCAGTTAGAGCTCAGTAGAACTTTGCTGTATTAAAGACTCAGTTATATACAGTTGGATCCATATGGTCTAGGTTGAAATGGTACAAAAAATTTAAATCTTCTTTTTCTATAAACTGAGCAAATGTCTTTAATGTGTTTTATTCTGTTCTGCAGAAGACATTTATTGCTCTGAAGGACAAGGTTCCAGAATTACAAGCCCATTTACTTGTGGTGTCTGTCACCAGTGTATTTGAGCACCTCCTGATGATGGCTTTGTCAGCTGTGTAAATACTGTTTTTCCATATGTTTATAAAATTTTTAGATGTTTTTAAGGACAGAAGGGTATAAATAATTTTCTCAAAGTTATGCAGCTTGTTTGGAACAGCAAAAATATTTACATTCTAATTTTCTGAGTCCCAATCTAGAGCATGAATCAGAAGTCAGATGAAGTTGAGCATGTTCCAGCAGTTCCAAATACAAGCTTAGCAACAGGACTAGGACTTACGCTTATCCTGAAATCACAGAACGAGTTCATTTGGGGGAACAAATGAGGTATGTGCTGAATATTTCTTGTACATGCTAGACATAATCAAGTGAAAGGTATGAACCTAAACATGTAGCAGCCACTTCCTCAAAGATTCTGTATTAAACACCACCTATCCATATCTTCAGGCTCAAGGGGAGCAAAATAGTTGCAGCAGTCAAGCTGCAACAGAGAATTGCTATTTATATTCTTTCTTGATCTTGTGCTCTATAGTAAGGGAGAGGATGTAGGTATTACATGCTATGAATGATGCATTTGTAGAGAAAAACAGCAATTTTAGAGTGGCCCTGAAATTTCTTGCAAATAATACATGTTCTTTGAAGTCTTCAGGCAGTGAAATAACAGCTGTCTGTTAATATTTTGTTTGTGTTCCCTGTGGTGCTACTGCTTGTGTGAGGGGGCTTCAGTTTGCTGTCAGCAAATAAAGGAAGGCAAGTATGGCTGCCAAGGGGGATCTTGCTCAGGAGGATGTTTCAGAATTACCTACAGGGCTACAGCCTCATCTACTCTTAGAAACATTAATCTTCCTTTTCATCCTCTTCATTCAAGGACCAAACTGCATACATCTTTCTAAAATCAAATGTTCTGGTGTGTACAAGGGGTCTTCATTGGTAAGCTATAAAAGATGATGCCGTTGTAATGCCTCCCTACACTTTATATGAACTTTAAGTATACTAAAAGAGTTAGGATATGGGTTCCATTTTATGTGAAATACATTGTAAATGCATCATAAATGTAGATTACAGTGCAAAAAAACTTACTTCTTTTGTTTTTATTCACTTATACACTTCATACTGACTCCTTCACTACTAGAAAACTGAACCTTCTACCTCCTTTAAGTTGTATGAAAATAGTACCAAGAGATGTTTTGGTACTCTATCGTTTTCACTCTATTGTGAAAGTGTGGATTCAGAAGTTGCATACTTTAATCATTTCTGCATGTATTTGGAGTCCTCTGCGTCTCTGCACATGCGCTACCCAGAACTTCCAAGTGTCATTATATTAAAAAGTTTTCTCAATTTCACTTTCTTCATTAACTGCATTTTAGATACTGAAATGTACATTATCCTTCCTATTCCATTCCATTTGCTAAGTATCTGGAAATATAAGCATATTCAAGAGCAACAAGAGAATTAATTGGAATTAAATATCTAATTTCAATTTGATTTTTTAAATCTTTTTTCCTCTAAATAAAATAAAAATATAATTGAGATACATAGCCACTTAGCTGTGCACTATGGACATGTGGCAAGAGTCTTCAGTAGCTAGGAAATTATTTTTATATTATTTATATACACATATATAAATTTAAAAGACCTGAATGACCCATTTTAGTCTCAGGCCTCCACAAAAGACCATGTGACAGGGTACCCAGAAGCACCATTACAAATATTACATACCAGTGATCTCTGGTACTTTGATCAGACTAGAGGAATTTGAGATTCTCAAAAGTTGTCAAGAATCAGTGCTTATTATTATTGCAACTAAATAGAAAGCATATTCTTCTATCTCTAATCTTAATGGATAATTCATGTGGTTCTTACTATAGAATCTGGTCTCACAAACTTCCCTGGCACAACAGAACCAGAAAGGCTGTAGATTATTAGACATCTTGGTCTAGATGCATATAGCCAGATTTCCAGTTCTTTAAACTTGTATGCCCACCCCACTGAAAATAGCAGAAATTAGGCATTTGTTTGTCAGTGTAGGTCTTTCTTAAAATAACCACTGAGAAACACTAACAGCTTGCAGATAACCTCTCAATACATTGTTAAACTGCAACTTGCCAACAGAAAGCTAAGTACAATTCAGATGCATTCTATCACAAGACTGAGATTATACTTTAACTGCACTACACTACAGTATTTATATGTTTTGAATATAGAAAACAAAGAACACTTTGGCTGAATTATATGTGTTTTGACTCCTGTTCACTGTGAAAATGAAAGTTCACTTCAGGGTTTTGGGTTATTTTTGTGGGGTTTTTTTCTTTATTGTGAATAAGGTGAGTTCAGGCACCTAATAACACAGTACACCGGTCAGTTACTGAATATTCAGATGGGCTTGTAAGACTTCTGAAACTCTGATCATATATCTCACAACATACATGTGGTTCTAGTTTGAAATTTAAAGTGAAAAACTGTAACTGTACTTTGTAACAGTCCACTGTGGACTCATTTATACACAGAAAATAGTGTTAAGCAAGCTGTGAATTTGCAGCATGTTAGATACAACATTGTAAATTTAAGCTTAGCAGCATGGGACCATTGACATATCACACTAATAGTACTCCTAAAGCAAACTGATATATCTGGCACCAGCTTATTTCATAGCTAGTGGTAACCACTGCCTTCAAGGACAGCAGTATATAAAAATGAGCATAGTGCAAACTTACATCCAGCTAATGTCTATTACTTTCCATGCCTACCAGCCGTTAATGTCTGTGTCTAACATAACAAGTTGTTAGCTCTGTTCCAGATACAGATTATGAAACAGAGCAAAATTCTAAATGCTGTGCTCAGTGTACAGCTTTACTCCGACAAGTATTTTGCAGGCAAGACTAAGAATATTTGTTATCTTCTTTGGTTTCATGTGTCTTCCTCTTACTTCAGTGGATCACATACTTTTCTGTTATACTTTCGAAGCAGTAAAATACTTGCATCTTTCTCTGGTAAGTGCTAGTGCTGTGCAAATAGAATGGAAAAAAGTGAAGATGAACTGAAACAAAACCACAAACCTCACTACTTAATAAGTACTTTGAGGGGGTTAAAATTCTCCTCTTAAAACATTTTCAAAAATCCCACATCTTTCTATTTGGTGATGCTCTTTTTTTGAATGAACAAGTGCTTTATGCTTTTATTATCTCCAGGCCATTTCCAATACTTTCCTGCAGTTGTACTGCTCCAATACAGACTAAAAATTCCTCTTAGAAATATGAGGTCTGTTCCAAAGGTAATGCCTCCTATTTTATTATTATTATTATTATTGTACCAAAACAACAGAGGTGGACGTTGGCAATTTGGCAGTAGAGACTAACCTTCCCAATGATATTCCAGTACATGTTGTTGCCATGTGACAGATGGTGGCAGAGGGGTAGTCTAACAAAATGGCGTACAACATGGAAGAGTGTATGAAGCAAAAGTGTGGAATTTTATTTCTCCATGTGGAAAAAATGCCCCCCACTAATATTCACTGATGCTTGCTGAATGTTTGTGCACACCAATCAGAGGCTGTGAGCACAGTGAGGTGGTGGGTAGTGCATTTCAGCAGTGGAGACAGCAATGACAGTGGGGCACGTCCACTAGTGCAGATATTTACAAATACAGTACACAGGCTTTTGTTCATTGCTGGTAAAAATGCATAATTAATGGTGGTGGTTGTGTTGAAAAAAATAGCATTTTGTAGCTGAGAATTTGCTCTATCAAATAGCGTTATTATGCTATTATGGATCTGTTGTGGTTTTCATGGAATTAAATGGAAGGCATTACTTTCGGAGCAAGTTATGCAGAATTGTCTGATGTGATAAACCAGGGTTTTCTTCAGAGCTAAACCTCAAACTTTCATCCTATCACATACTTCTGTTTTCTGTTCTTGATTTCAGCTTTCATTTTGCAGCCTTGCACTACCATCTCCCTTTCATACCAACAGCAGTACCAAAGAACTTAATATAAACCCTTCCTTGCTGCGATTTTATCAGTACTGCCAGGACTTGATTGTCAAAGAAAGTGGTTTAAAGAGCAGAAACTCGAAATATTGCCGCTATTAAACCATCAGGAGCTTTGCCAGTAGCGTTTAAGGCATTTTACTTGAGGGACCTCTGTGTGGGCGTTATCTGATTTCCTTCAAAAATAATTTATGTGTCAAGGGTCCTTCCTCTCTAAAGTACATCTTTGTCCCCACGCGTTTAAACTGAAGGGGGGGTGGGGGGGGGAGTGAAAAAAAGAAAAAAAGAAGAAAAAAAGCACGCGAAACTGCAGCGCCGGCTGGAACAACGAGATCTTGCACAACTGTCGCGCGGAGCTGTGCCGATTCTTGCTTGCTGCGGGCGATAACCGTCCCCGGGCCCCGCTGCAAAGCGACCCGCGCCGCCCCAGCCGCGTGCCCGCAGGGCGGCAGCGCCTCGAGACGGGCCGTTGGCGAGCCCCGCTTCCAGCGCTCAGAGCGACCGCTCCGCCCCGCCCGCAGCCGCACGCCGCGTTCTGCGCGCTGCTGCAGCATGAAGGTGGGTGAGGAAGAGGCAAGGGTCTGGGCTGCCCGCTCGGGTGATGTGCGGCGGTCCTGACTGGACTTCTCTTTACAGACCCTCCTGAAGTGGTTACTGGGACTCGTGGCGGTCGCCGTTGTCGTCACTGTGATCGCCGTGCCGCTGGCTCTGCTCACCGGCGGTAAGTCCCCGGCGGGGCCGGGAAGGTGGGGGTAGTACTACTGCAGCCGCCGGGGGTTGGTAGGTGTTGAGGGGTCTGCAGCCGTGAAGCTCACCCCTTTGTGGGGAAAAGTTTTGTTGAAAGTTTGTGCTTGAGCGTACTTTAGAGCTGGTGCTCACGAGTCCCCTGAAACTGGGAAGTGTTTCGTCAGGGAGCTGCCTCATCTGGGAGGATGGGGGCTGTGAGGGGAGAAATTAAAAAGTCACTTAATTGCTGTGCAAATTTATGAACTACTAGTCGTGTCATCAAATTCAGCATTTTTTTTTCCCGAAAATCTGCAAAACAGCAATAAAAAGCTAATTGCAGGACTTCTAGGGTGTATTGAAGAAATAAGATTGTATTCTAATTTGCTTTGTTTGCACAACTTCTGGTTTATTAATGTTTGTTGAGTGAGATTATACACACTGTGCTGTTAGAGAGGTCAGAAAAGTAGGAAGATTTGGAATGCGTTTTTGGACTCTGATCATTTGTACCTTCCAGGTTGATATTGCAGCTCTGAATTGTTAATCTAAAACACCATTAAATCCTCATCCAGCACCGCACTGCTCCCAGCTGGTAGGCAGAGCTGCAGGTTAATCCCTCTCATTATGTTTTTATGATTAACAGCTGTGCAGTCAGGAGCTGCACAATTCAGTGCTGTAAACTCTAAGGAAACAAAGTATTTTGTAGAACAGACCTTTGGAGGCCTTATGTTTGTAAAATGGTTGCCCAAAAGCAAGAAGATACATTTGATGATTTCTTTTTCTAAACATAGTAATTGTTTATGTGCATAGGAAGTTCTAGTGTTTAAGTCAATTAAAGAGGCAAAATTTGCGTCATCATACTGTTCACGTGGTATAATTTACATTAACATATTTTGCAGTTCATTTCTGTAATTAAGACTATCACAAAATTGAAAATAGTCTGGGTATCAGACTATTTCACAGTCTGGGTATCTGAGTTCCTTATTACCTGGGCTAAAACTTGCATCAATATCTATTGCCAGATTTTGCTGCTTCATTCTGCTAGATTGGGCTGCTTTTTGCCACTTATCTAAAAAAAATCAGATTTCTGAGGTGACTTCAAGTTTAAGAAGTTGGAAATTGTGGGAGAAAGAGTCTTGATAGCTTCTCAGGTGCATGTGCGCATCGTAATGCAGTGCCTAGTATATGGGACTTAATAGTGCTACTCTACCTTCATCACCTGTAGCTTCTCTACAGGTAATGCTGTACCATATCTTACTGAAAATCATGGGTTATCTTCTTTCATAGACTGTAGGAATCCTTTTGCAAGAGAAGTGGCAGCAATTTAGAGTTGATCATTCAGTTTTATAGTAAAAGAAAAGAAAAAAAAAATATATTGAAAAATCACTTCTGCTGCATGAATTACAAAATATCACTAACCCTGGCTTGTGTTGCTTTGTCTATTGTGAATGAGCAGTGTGAATGCATGTCTTACACATGGCTTAAATTAATGGATGACTAGAGCACCTAGGTAATAAAATAAGGATGAAGTAGATACAGAGAAGGACAGGTCCTGGTTTGCAAACTTGAAGTTCTGACTTCCCAAATCAGGCTAGTTTTAATATCTGAATAACAACTCTAACTAAAGCAAGTTCAAGAACTTTGAATTTTTGACTGAAGGGTGTTAAACCAATGTTTTCTGTTAGCTGAGAGTATACAGGTGGTGTACTTATAATTAGCTCTTCACAGGTGAGAACACTTAGTCTCTGGCAGTTTGATTGTGTTGCCCTTATGCACAAACTAAGGTCATGTAAGTCAGCTGAGGATGTCTTCTGGGCCAGTACAGGGACTGGACTGAGTTCAGAATGAAAAGAGGCAAAACTGGGAGGAAGTCCAGCGACTCACGTAACTGACAATGTGAAATCAAAGTCAGCTCTCATAAAAGCAATTGTAATTGTTACCAAATCTTTATTTCATCCCAATGGTTCAAGCATTTTGCAGAAGGTGAAAATTATTATTCACATACATAAATATACTGGGTTTGAATTTCTTACTGTTGGCCTTCTCCCTGCCATGCTCCTCAGTGTACTGCAATTTCATAAGTTTAGTAGTCATGCAATGCAAAATTAGTTAGATAAATGGACTTAAGTGTTATAAAAGGACTTGAAATTTTGCCACTACAGAGGAAGTCAGGCTCATTGTCTAGGCCTCAGAAGGGAAAGGTTATTTCTGTTTCTTCTCTTGCCCCAGTTCAGCAAATGGCAAATAACAAAATTGCATCCTTTCTGTTGCTCTTCAGCTTGATAGACAGCTCCTCAGCAGTGGTAGTACAAAATTCCATGCTTTGTGTTCATAGGTCATTCCAAATGTAATGCCTCCTATTTATTTCCATGGAAACCACAACAGATACAAAGAGCACAATAATGCTCATTGATAGAGCAAATTCTCAGCTACAAACATCGTTTATCATCACAATTATCACCATTAGTTTTGCGTTTCTGCCAATAGTGAACAAGAGTTCTTCATTTCATAGGGAAACAGCTGTTCATGGCCATTGGAACATGACTTGTCTTTCACATCGAACTACTGAAACGCAACACCCACCACCTCACTGCATTACATCCACTGTTTGGAAAACACCTTTACTTCATACGCATTTCCCTGTCAGGTGCCATTTTGTCAGACCACCCTTCTGCTGCCATCTGTCACACAGCAACAAAATGCAATGGAATATTGGCAGTAGTGGTTGAAACTTCTCACCATACCACAACCATCTCCCTCTGACATCATGGACCTACATAATAAAATAGGAAGTTACTTTTGAAGTAGCCCCTGTATTTTTACAACCTTACCTCAAAGAGTTTAATCCCAAAAGAGACCCAGAATTCAAATTTGAAGTCAGATGATGAAGGCATTGTTATGCTTTGTGGAGCTCTTTAAGAGGTGAATGTAATAACAACTGTTATAACAACTTGCAAGGCATGAGTATTTATTTAAAAACATGGTTTGTCTGCTCACAAATCATTTTTCCATTTACTTTTGCTTCTTCCATTTTTTCCTTCTATAACTTTCCATACAAAAGGCAGTTCAAAACATCCAGTGGTTGTACAGCATTTCCTCTTCTCTAGCAGTGATTGTCATTATGGCTCTGGAAGGCCAGGAGTGGAAGGAAGAGAAGCCAGTGCTGAGTAGAAAGGAGAAAATGTTATATTTAGCAGACTGCTGCCCTAAGGAGCAAGCCACAAACAATCTTACAGTGTGGAGAGCTGTACAACAGTCTGGTCTAAAACCAGGTTCCTGTACTGGAGATTTAACTCCCCAAGGGTAAAATATTGACAAAATGAGATGAAATGTAATTGTTAGGTGATAATGTGCTTGTCTCCTGTGCTCTGTTAAAAGTAATGTGTCCACTCCTTTGGTTGGAAAAACATAGCAGGTTCTGGGAAGGTTAATAAACTTGAGGTGCCTGAGAGGACTTGGTGAGTTTGACACCTGACTGATGAGTTAGGTATTAATAGTGGCTGGGAAAAAGCTAACACAAGTAAAGATAAGGGTTATTGGCTGCAAAAGTCCAATGACTTCTTGTCATCCTGGATTTCATAATGAAGATCATTGGGTTTGCTGAGACAGCTTCTTGGTTCAAGGACTCAAAAGAGATGAGGTTGCATATCTTCCTGACAGTTTTGTTAATGTATAACTGAAAAGAAGGTGAAATGAAAGCCTCCAAATAGCTCTCATTGTTCTTTTGGGAATGGTTACATATCAACACTTACCCTGTTTATCCTATCTGTGATCTGTCCTATGCTAAGCAGATTTGTGACTGGATGGTGTGGAGGAGTATCTATTGCCTATGTCAACACCTTGCTTGCAACTGAAAAGGATGCTTAAAAATATGAAGGTGTCTGGCTGATATGCAGCTCTCATATTTGAAGACCTATGCCACAAGATGAATGAATATGGCAGCTGTAATCTGTCCCAGTTTTCTTGGGAATAGGAAATCTTTTATTGTCACAATTTTTGGAAGGCGTTAGGCTTAAGGATGTTTAGTGAGGAAGCAAGAAAATAACTAAGTGAATTTTAATCTATGGATTAGAATTATATCTTTGAAGTAGAATCTCTTTGAGTCTATGTTAAGAAATTAAGGTTTAGATGAGAATCTTATTTTGTATGTTTTTAAAAGGACAATATGTAACCTGTGAATGGTAGTTAATTCTACTAACTTCAAATTTCTTTACTCAAAGTCACAAGTGAAATTCTCTAAAAAATTGTAAGGGAGATATGGTAGGTTAATCAGGCCATTGAAAATATACTGTATACTGTCTGAACAAACTGTCTTTTAGTTTGAATATGACTGCTGTAAATGTCCTGGCTGATGTCACTGTTTTTACCTGCTGGCTTTCTCTTGGATGTTGGGCATCAGGCTTCTCTTCTGAATGTGTAGTAAAGTTTCCATTATTAGTAGCTTTACAGGTTTCCTTTGCTTTTGAGCTGATTACATCCTTTCTTGCTCTTTTGCATTGTATATAGAAATTTAAACAATGCATTCACCAAAAGTAATTTTAACAATTTTAATTTTGGATATGATTATTTGAAGCACAAACTTCACACAACAGTTGAATTTTTATTTCCTTTACTCCTTATACCTACAGAAACAAACTCAATCTTTCTTTTGAGAAGATGATACATGTTTACAAAAAACAAACAAACAAAAAACTAAGAAAAACACTGAAATTGAAAGAATTCTATTTATCAACTTTGTATGAATATTCCTTACATAAATGGTTAATAGCCTTCTCTCTAGAATGCTTTACTTAAATTTTTGTTGTTGTAACAGGTATTATGATGTACATATTTCTAATATATCACTATGACAGTGGTAAATATGCATGTGCTGCTCAGGGGGAGTAAAGGGTAGATAGAAAGAGCGAGTCATTTGGAACTTAGAAAAACAGTCCCTGTCTGGAAAGAAAGAAAAATAGAAAAAAATAGAGACGAGAGAAAATTCAGCTTTCACAATCTCTCTGAGGAATTTGAGAGAAAGAAGCCATTTTGCTAAAATGTGAATATATTCTAGCCTACAATCTTCAAAGCCACTAAAATGTTTTTGAATGTTAACAACTAATTCATTTTGTAAAAATACAAGCCCACTTGATGCTTTTTTGGGGGTAGAAGGTTTGGTTTTGTTTTGTTTTTTTAAATGGAGTCTAAACCAAAAGAAGCAAAATGCAGAATGAGATACATGCAGTAAAAACATAGCGGTAGTGCTCTATTTCACAAACTAAGAAAATATTCCAACTAAAACTTTGATGACTATACCCGTACAGCTTGGCGTTTCATATTCAGTTACTATGTGGAAGGTGTTGACAGAAAATGAAATTTTAATTTTACACACAGCCAAAAAATCTTAATGGTGGCCTGATTTTTAGTAATGAGACCTTCGCAAAATATGTATGTCACCAGGGGGGAAAAACATTCAGCAGTTTGGAAAAATCCCTAAACCTGTTCATCAGCCACCTGTCTTAAATTGCTCCTCCTTTTCCAAGAGAGAATTTCATTGCTTTCTGAAGTCCCTCTAATTGAAAGTGACACTTACTCAATTAGGAAGGAGAGAAGTGATATTCCCAACTAGACAACTGTGCATGAATATCAAATACACACTTGTTCATAATCCGTCAAATTAAATATTCAGTTAATATAAAATAATTAACCTGAGAAATTAATATTCTTCTGGAAACATCTAGACTTGTGACACTTCTCAGAATAGCCAAATCTCAGATGGAACTGAGCAAGTAATTGTCTTAATCTTTGTTAGACTAAAAGCTTTGGCTGTTAAGGCTCTCGACTTTCACTACAGCAATGGCTCTCCAGTCTGTGCTGTATATAAGTAATGTATTTATTGTTTGGAAATAAGAATAAAACCATAGTGGCTAATATAAATGTCTTCCTGTCATGTTCCATATGTCACACTTTTTCAACTTGCAGAAAGATTCCCCGCAGCAATCTTGAGAGGTGGGCTTTTTTTTGTTCTCACTCCCTTGTACTCTTTTTCTTCTACAGCATATTAAAAGAGGCTGTGTGTTTAAAAGTATCTGAAAAGACTGGAAAGCTCAGAATTGATGGTGGCAGGTTATTATCTCAAATGATCATCTAAACCCCTGTATTGGATTGTTTTTATCAATTGTTTATATCCTGGATTTTTTATTTGTTCTGCTAATAACTGGGGGGAAAAAAAAGAAAAAGAAAAAAAAAAAAGTAAAAAAAAAAAAAGTTGAAATAAAAACTGCTTTCCTTCTTCAATGTGTAGATTATATGAGGGTGGTTTTTGGTGTTGGCTTGTTCATTTTAAAAAGGCTGAAGAAAATCAGGGAGAGAACTGCACACCTCAATTTCAATATATATGTTTTTGTGTGTATATGTGTATAATGTACTGCTGAAACCTTTTATACCTTGGAAAAAGTTGTTAGGGCACTGCAACCAGTAAAAAAGAAATATTTTCATAGATGTTGGCAGTGTCACACTGTTGCTCATGATCAATCTCATAAATTTACCTAGGTTCAGTTTCACTTAGTCTTTTCATAGTAGATCAGGTACATGGTTTTAATTTTGCAATCAAAATACTAATGTCATAGCAGACATTATGATACTTTGATAACTTGGTGGAAAACCAGGTAGCACTGTGATCCTTTTCCTTTCTGACTGTTGGACTGTTGGATTTTTTTTTGTGCTTTCTTCCTGCTGGCAGTTTATAGCTGGTTAGATAAAGCACATCAGTTGCCAGTAGCAAAAGACACTTAGCTTCTTAACCTGACTATTAAGATGTGGTGGAAAATGTTGTAATAGCATCAAAATCTCTTCTTTCTCTTTCTTCCAGAAAGTACCCCTGACTCTGATTCACGAAGAACATATACCCTAGAGAATTACTTGAACAATGACTATGTGTACAAAACACATAATTTGCAATGGATTTCAGGTAATTTATTTTTACACATAGCATGTGTATAAAGAAAATGTACTACTATAAATACACAATACTCAGAGATGACTAATATATCCTGAAAATATGTTAAATACTTAAATAGTGTTATTACAAAATGGTGCATAGCTCAAAGAGTTGTGATTTCTTTTCTGTAGATATGTGTTAGTGCTTGTGGCAAACTATGTTCTCCTATTGCTAGAAGCACCCTAAGAGAAAAAGGTGCTAGAATGTTGAAGGTGAGAGTCCAATTTTGTTAACAGTGTTATAAGTATCCTTTAATTACAAAAGCTGGAAACAGAATATTGACCAGAATTTTTAATTTTATTTCCTGCTTCAAGAAATAGGGGAGAAAGAAGTGAGTGATGTGCATTTTACTTACTGTTTATTGTCATCTCTCTTGCTCTTTTAGGAAATCAATATCTACATGAAACACCTAATGGGAACATTCTACGTTTCGATGCTGAAACTGGATCATCCTCAGTAGTCTTGTTAAATACAACAATAGTACGTTGACTTATATATAATATGTGCAATCTTAGAGAAAGATTTTATATTTAATACCTTTTTTTTCCTGAACATTTCTCTGGAATCAGTGCTTAACATGTTCTCTTTGTCTCTTATTGACAGAGCATACATGAGGCAACAACAGCTATATTGTCCCCTGACCAGAGGTTTGCTCTTCTGCAGTACAAGTATGAAAAGGTACAAATGCACTTAATTGTTTGAGAATGAAACTGGGAAGTAAAGGTTTGGAAATAATTGAGCAAGAAGATACTGTTGGAAGTAGAGGTTGCAGACGCTGAAAGAGTTTGAGAGAATTGTTTAGAAGAATAAAATGGATATCTGAGGTGAATGAAAAGTCCTGTGTGGTTACAGGCTATCCTCTTGCACATGGTATGGGCTCAGGTGTCCTTGTTTGCTGCTCTCAGCAAGTATGTGGAAAACCCCCAGCATAAGTGTATCATCTTGGCTTGGTGCTGAATAAAGTAACAAAGGTCAACCCACATGTATGTCAGTTAGCAAGAATCCCTGGCCCTGCGTGCCTCCAGAGGAGAGAACAGAAACCTAATGGAGGTGATAACTTGGCCTGCAGTGTGTGCACTGAGGAGCTAGTAATTTCGTTGTTGTTTTTTCCTTTTTGTTTTTATTACTGGAGAGATCTGCATGTTTTGTTTGTAAAAGGGTCTGTGTACAAATACTCAAAGGCCATGTTACTGAGCTCCCTCTACATGTTCTGGCAATGCAATCCAAGAACACCTGTCACAGTGTTCCAGCTGCAGTCCAGTCACCACATGTCAGTCACGACTTTTCTACAGTTTAAGCTTCTTTGCTGGGTACAGCTAGGCCATTTACTTTCTGTCTTTCTAAATTGTTCAGAATAGATTCTTTTCACTGCATTATTACCGGTAATAAAAAATTTTATACTTTTCCAGCTAATCCCCTCCACTTGTGATTTATTATTCTATGCTATTTTATTTGCTGTAGTCATAAGATTTAACTTTACTTTAATGCTGAAACAGTCTTTTAACCTTTATATAGTAGTATGATTGAAAGTTATGTTGTTATTAATCTTAATCACAAGAAAACAGAGTAACAAAATGAATCACGAAGATGTGGACGCTTCTTATATAATAGCCATCTGGTTGTGTAGTACTAAGATATTGTTTTATATCCTCATAGCTTCATACAAATCTTCAAGAACTACCATAGAAGGTAACACTGTTATAGCATATCAACAAGATGGGTTAAAACAAACTTCTTCAGCTCCTCATGGTGAGCACATCTAAATGACATCTTTCTTTCAATAAGTGCCCACAGTGGTGTAGGTTTCAAGAGGAAGGTTTCTGAGAAATAAGTTTTATTTCTGTGACAATATGGGTGAGAATATGAATCCTGGAACTAGAGGAACTGCTACAGAAACAGTGCTGGAACTTGAGAGCACTACTGAAAAATAGAATGCCAAGTTAAATAATACACCATGGAAAAGGAGGCAGAAAACAGTTGTGCCAGTAAGGCAGAAAGAGAAGGATTAACTCTACATACCTGTGATAGTCTTGCCATAAAGTTTCAAGGATTTCTGAAAATCTGCAGAATCTCTGGCCTCTGTATCTGTGTCCTTGGTCTGTCATTGGCTTCTGTCATAGTAACTAAGTGATGACCACAGAAGGACAGTATCTCTTCAGTTTTCCTTTAAAAAGTACAGAAAATTACTGCCCTTATAGGTTCATTGTGTTACATCTATCTCAAGCAAAAGTGTGAAGAGGATTTCAGAAGTTTCAGTGGTAATTGAAGATGTAAGAGATTTGGGTCCTGTTGACATTTTTGTTTTCTTAATGTTAAACTAATTCTCTTGCAGTTGTGGAGGCATTCCTACACAGCTTCATATCACATCTATGATTTCAATACAAGGTTAGTGAATTATGCACAAGATGTAATTTTAATAGTATTTTGCAATGAAGTGGCGTTTTACTGATTTGTCTTAATTGTATCTTTGTTTCTTTATTTCCAGTTCCATCTTAGTTGATGCACTACTACCTAATGACACGCAATATATATCATGGTCACCCATCGGTCACAAACTGGTTAGTAAAGATAATCTAAACTTATACAGCCACTTCCGTAGCCATGACAGAGAAGCTCATGTTAACTATGTCCTAGGGGTTTGGGGGCTTTCCTACTTCCAGGTAAAATACCTGAACTAATTTCCAAAACGGCTGTTGGAAATACTCAAACATTCCTCCATGTGTTATGTTCTGTTCTTTGCTGAAAAGACATTCCTGAAAGCAGTATGGTCCCAGTATGTTGCACAGGAACTTAGTATTTTTACAGTAGCAAACAGTAGCTCATCTCTTTCAAAGGTAATATCATTACAGCTTTCTACACATTCACACCGTGGTTTTTATCTCTTAATAAGAACAATGACGTTTTATTTAAGGATGAATTTAACAGGGATTAGAGGATCAAAATCATCTTGTGTACTCTTTCACATTATTCTTATTTTCCTTTTCTCCTCCCTCATCCATGACAGCTTTGATAGCTACTGTGTTTGCAAGGCTGTTTTGGATCTGACCTAAAGAGCAATCACACTAGTATGTGGTGTTTAAATATTCTTATTCATTGTCGTGGATTATGGAGCCCAGCAACAGAGGCAAAGGATGTTGAAAAGAAATTGCTACATCTCAGAGAGAAGCTCTGGAATAAAACTGTGCTATTCAGTCAGTAAGGGGGAAAAAAACAAAGACATTTTACTCAGAAATACATTATCTTTGGAGATCTGTTAGCAATATCAAGACTTTTATCAAGGTTTTATCAAGATATTCTCAATATTCTTTGAGGGACAAATGAGTTTAAAAAAAAACACAAACAAACAACTTCTAAAATAAACTTGTATTTCAAAGGAAAAATAATGGCAATAATAATGTCATTTAAAACAACTGTTCTGAGGGTTGAATTTTTTTTTCTTTTTGGCATCTCAGCTTAAATTCAGTTTGTTACTCTTGATTTGTACTAGTAATTCATGTTTGAGTATCAGTGACGTTTGGACAAGTGCGAATTTGAAGGACTATTTTTATCATCAGTAGTAAATGTAAATAGGTCACTAAATGTGGCATAAAGAGGAAACAGCATTTACTCTAATAGTCATCATAATAATATTTTGCAGGCATATGTTTGGAATAATAATATTTATATAAAAGCTTCACCAACAGCAGCACCTGTGCAAATCACTAGCAATGGAGAAGAAAATAAAATTTTCAATGGAATACCAGATTGGGTTTATGAAGGTAAGTATATCGAGCACATTTTTCTTCGCATTTTAATGTAAAAATTTGGGGTTCTTACTGTAGATTTTATTAAAATAATTTTATCTAATTTCTTATACTGAAATATTAAAAATTAATGCAGATCTGCATTTTTAGCAGAAGTATTTATCCTTATCTGGGCTTTATGCCTGGTCAGCGTAGGTATCTAGGAACAGAAATTAGTTTTATCTTCCTATGATAGATCATGAGCACCAATCTTTCTCTCATTTCAGAAGTCCAGTAAGCAGCCTCTGCTTTGATGTATTAACTTCAAAAAAAAAACCAAACAAAAAACAAACCTTATTAAAAATTTAATAAGAATATAAGATATCATATAATTGATAAATTGGCTCTTATATAACTTTTGCATCTCTTTCAGAGGAAATGTTTGGCAGCCATTCTGCTCTGTGGTGGTCTCCAAATGGCAATTTTGTGGCATACGCAGCATTTAATGACACAGAAGTTCCTGTTATTGAGTATTCCTTTTATTCTGAAGACACATTGCAGTATCCTAAGACCATTAGAATCCCTTATCCCAAGGTCTGTGTTATTTATTTAACATGGTTGTTCTGCAGTTTCATTAAGGGAGTAGTCTCATTTAATCAGTTTCTGCTAATGAAAATATTGTCTCTCTCTCCTCAACAGCTTGCTGTGATTACTCTTTCTGAAATCAACAGCATCTGGCAATGTTAAAGTATTTATTATCTCTAGGGGAAAGGAAAGAAAAAAGTTTTTCTTTTTCATCACAGAAGTTTTGAGAGGTGACAAGTAGATGTTGAGATAAAAAGAGCACTTTAGTAAAAGCATTTGGCATACACACATTGTATTAGGCTTGTGCACTGTATTGTGCTTGTGTAAATGGAATCTTCTTCAAACAATGGAGTAATTCTTAGTAATTCCCCTTCCTACATTGGGAAGGGGAAGAAAACGCTGACATAATTCCTTTGTCCACCCCAAAGCTTTTTCAATTTTTGCTGCAGTGAGAATGTCAGTGCATACAGGTCCTTCTTCCCTCCACATGTGCCTGCTGCTCATGGCACTGGGATAAATAGTGTGAATGTCAGGTACAGCGTGCTGCCAACAGGTCCTTTCAGACATTCCACATAGGGAGGATTAAATGTTTATTTCACATTTTCCCTAGATTTAGCTATTGAAGTTATTTGAATCTACCTGGGGTTTTGATTTAGTAGAGTGATACAGCAATAGATTTAAGACAGTGTGCAAGTACAAATTACACTTTGAGTACAACAATTGCAATGTACCTCTGAATCACAATATAAATGGGATTCTTAATACTGGTCTCCACAGTAAGTTCACTGCTGGAATGCTGATCATCCCCATTTGCCTTGAAGTAATTCATTGTTTAAAACTAGCTTATGCCCATCTTTTTGTTCATTGTTTTGGTTTTTATTTTCTGTGTTGGACAGACATATATATGTATCTCCCCCTATGCCGGTCTGGCCAGCTCAGGAAAATGCTTGTGTTCTTGATAAGCTGGGGCAGAACAACTGGTAGAGCCAGCTGACTGCAACTGACAAAGCTGCTTACATGGAGTGAAAGCCAACCTCCAGTCCCCTTTGTGCTGAATTCAGCTTTCTTTGCAGCAGCTGTGCTAGGTCACTCCCTACCCTTCCCTGATCTCCATGATCACATTGCCTTTGCCTATCTCCTTGGAGGCTCAGGGTCTCACTGGTGGTTACAGTAAGCAGCTGGGCTCGCTGCAGTAAGATCAGGGACTGTGCCCTGAGCGTGCCACCTGTGAAGAGGCATAGGTGTAGCAGGTGTGGAGTGAACTGCCAATTTAAATAGCACCTTTTATTGCAGACCTTCCTGTTTGGAGTATTGCTTATTTCTGGGTGAGCTACAGCTACTTAACTGTTACTATGAGGATTTAGCTGGCTAGCTTCAATTTCTAGATCTAGAGAAGTCCTTTGTGACACAGTAATTTTGCTATTAGTACCTATCGGTGCTACATTAAAAACAACGGGGTCCATGTGGCAGCCACAGCTTTGATTACATTATAGGCAGCTGTTATACTATCAGTTAAGGCAAGGTGTTAGTTTCCATGAAGAATCACTTTGCTCCCTGTTAGCATTGTATTTGATTCACTCCTAGATACTGTGTAGCATCTGAGGCAAGATATGGTCAAATACTGCTGCGGGTAGAGGAAAGCTTATGGATGTTTATATATGTAGGCTTTCACATCTAGAAATACATAGCTAACACTTTTTTAAAGGTAATTTATGTATGAATCATAAGAATTGCATTTAGGAACTTGTCTTCTTGTGTGTCTGAAGGTAGCTGGTTCTACCTGACTGTCTGTAGTGATTTCTTCATCTATAATTTCAATCTTCTTTTTCTCCCCAGGAATATTCTTTCTTTGAAATTACAATGAAAAATTTTATTTTAGGCAGGAGCTAAAAATCCAACAGTGCAATTCTTCGTTGCGGATATCCAAAGGCTTCCTGATTTTAACACTACTGAAATTTCTCCACCCGCAGAAATAAAATCAGGGTAAGAAATTTTGATTAAATCTTTGTATCTTTTCTTTGGTGAAAGTGAGGAGCATTTGAGGGTGACCACTCTACCTGCTGTGTATATTGTCCTTTCAACAAGTCAAGCAGCTCTGGTAGCAACAAGATTTACCAGAGAAAATCTGCTCAGAGATTATCCTCCTAGTGATTATATATAGATAGCATATTCCATGTATGTTATATTCAGAATGTGACAAGTTCTTGGCTCATCACACTCAGTGGAGTCTAACTATGGTGAAGTCATTTCACAGTACAACTTTAATATGAGCAAGTTTTGGTATAATCAAATTAAAATGTATGTATTCCAATTCACTGGGAAGAAGAAGAAAAAAAAAAAACCTTAATGGAAAGTGAAGATTTAATTTCATTGGAAGCAGACTCCTTGCTAAGGCAAGGTATTGTGATTGTCTTCTGATTTATACTTAAAATGTTTGTTTTCTTTGAAAATACAGTGAAAACCAGCGCTTCTCAAAGTTGATTGAAAATTGTATTTCTCAAAATGCCACTGGAAATGCACAACGTGATATAAATGTATTCCATAAAGAGCAACTAAATGGATTTAAATTGCATGTATACAGAATTTGGTATCCTAGATCTTGTTGGTTTGTTGGGGTTTGTTTGTTTGTTTCTATTTTAACACTATTGTAGCAACTTTATTTATTTTTAGAGTTTTGTTCTTAGAAAGATGTTGGGTATGAATGCACAGGTTATACTGATAAACTCCAGAAAAAAAAAGCAAAATATGTCTGTCAGCTTGTGCACAGAACTGCATTTTGTAAGGGAAGACCTAAAAGATTGGAATTTTGATAGTGTTCCTCACAACAGTATAACACCTCTGTGTTAACTGAGATAAAGAAGTTTTTATGGATTTTGATCTTTACTACTTTATTTTTCAAGGAAATTTCCCCAAATCTAGAATGGCCCTGATCTGCTACTTTAATATGGTATATGAAACTTGTTACTGATTTTGCATGAGAATGGCCAGCATGAAGCCTATGCAACATTCAGATGCCACTTTTATCTTCCTGGGCATTGGGGGCTCTTGCTGGTTAACAGGAGGATGGAGGCAATGGATGCTTCTCATCAAAAATGACTTACCCAACAAAATAAGGAGTCCTCAGAGTAGAGGATTCTGGATAGTAATTGCAGGAATATCCTTTCTAAGCAACAAATGAGGAAGGACAATGCAGAATTGCTGCAATGTATGTTTTGAGTTAATCTCAAATTAATTTACTTTTCACGAGTTGTTGAAAACTAAAGGTGTATTCTCTATTTCTGTCATAAACTTTCACAAATGTTTTTGTTAGACTATAAATGTTCTCTCTCTTTTACCCTTACTGTTCATCCTGTCTGACTAGATGATCTATACCATCTGAAACTGTTAACTTATCTTACTTTGAAGGAACAAAAACTGTGGGACTAATTCCCCTCTTGCAGAAACAAGAAAAACCACTGTTTATTTTTAACCAAACATGTAACATGCTCTTGCGGAGAAGTTTCATAACATTAATGGTCTGTTTTCATTGAAGTCAGTGACAGCAGTGGTGTTCAACATCGTACCAAATTCCCAGTCAAACATAAATGTAAGAATCTACCTTTTTACCATGTGATTTCTGAACTGAAATCTGGAAATAAACCCGAAAAAGGCTGGTAACCAGTTGGCATATATTTTTAATCCATCTGCAGTAATTGTCATCTTCTTTCCTTCTTTCTTTTTTTCTATCTTTTTCTCTTGTCTCTTTTCCTCCATTTTATGATTATGAATATATACTCACTCTGACAAAACTCCCACACGTTTTTGTTAACTAACTTAGGGAAAAAGGGAACATGAACTTGGAACTAAGTCAAATGTGCAAATTTTAGTTAAAAATGTGTAGTTGCCTTGGAGGGGAGGTTTATTTTATTTTAGTTCATAAGGCTTCTAGGAGATAGGAGAGATCTAAATTAAGGAAAAAAAGGAATGAAACAAATCAAAATGTAAAAAAATAAATAAATAAATAAAATACTAAATTTTATGTGGTGCTTTGTTTTAAAAAGAAAAACGAACACAGGAATATTCTAGAAAAACTAATATTTATTTTTTGGAAACTTTAGTTCTCAGTGTCAACTAATTGGTATTCTAAGCATGAAAGTAAAATACTCAAATAGTAATATTTGTTGTTGGCTTGATCTCTCCCTCCATTCTATCCAATAGAAGTAAGTACTAAATTGAACAAAAAAGTGTATCACTCAAATTGCTTAGCAGCAGTGTATCACTCATATTGCTCAATTTCATGTATCAAAGGAAACAATTCCAAAATACAAGACTCATAAAACTTAAGAATTTCCTCTAGTTGCATGCAGTACATTTAAAGACCATGTAGGGACAGTCTGGAGTAGCTACTATTTCATGCATTAGAGGATGGTGATCTGGCTACTAGGTTTTAATTGCAGTCTTCCTGGAAGTGGGTGTGTAAAACTATATAATTCTTTATTGTATGAATGAAATAACCAATGGATCTTATAGTAGCAAAAATAATCGACAACAAAAAGCCACAATTAGATTTGCATCAGTTGTTGTCCTTAAAAGAGTGCACTGAAATGAAAATAGTCAAATTAGTCTCATTCATTGAATTTGCTGAATGCTGTTGTATAGTATATTATTACAGAAAGGGATTTTAAATACCTAATGCTACTGCTGGTTTCAGTGATCATTATTTGAGCGTTGTAACATGGGTAACAGATGAAAGGATCTGTCTGCAGTGGCTCAGAAGAATTCAGAATTTTTCAGTCCTCACCATCTGTGACTTTGAAAGTGCAACTGGAAATTGGACGTGTCCACAGGTAAGAAAACCGAAGTGGAAGAGTCACAGTGTTTGATAAATGAGACTGGATAGTAGTAGAGTATCTCTGTATTATTTATCTTTGTAGAAACACAGGCTGATATAAAACAAAATCCCACAACAATTATGTTTATTTTATTTTTCTTAGGAAAAACAACTTACGGAAGAAAGTACAACTGGCTGGATTGGCAGAGTGAGTGATTTCTAAAACTGCAACATGTTAAATGACACTGATAATTAAGAAATTTTCTTATGAGCTGCTTACCAGTTACAATGCTCTTGTGTGCAAGGCTGATCCATTCACTCACTGCATTTTGTATATGAAGGTAAAATATCTAAAGTGGAGTTGCACAACATCCTCACTCCCAGTTTTAAACTATGTGGATATTGCTTTCTGAACTCCCCAGGCTGGGCTGATAGTGTGGGCTGGAGCCCACATCCTCCATGACATGTGCATCACTTTCAGCTTGCCAAAAAGCAGAGTGCTTATTCCAGGCTTCTTTTTAATTCTGACCTATTGCTTAGGTAGCAGTAGGTAGGAGAGCGCGGGTGTCAGGATTCAGAATTCCCTTTGTACTGGAAGAGCTGTCAGCTATGCTGGTTTGGCTGCTCTCCAGTCTTCTTGCCACCTCCAGAATGATCTAGGGAATAAAACATTAAGAAACGTGTCCTATACCCTTCAAACTGAAATGAAGGAGAGATGTAGAGGATAGGAGTCGATTATAGTCTTTCAAATTTTCCCTGGTTTTGTTTGTTTTTCCCAAGAATAAACCACTTCAGGTACCCTTTAGTTTTGTTTTTTAATTAATTTATATTTTTTCCCCACACAAAATATCCAATGGAGAGAACTAAGGACAAGATGCTTATAACTGACCAGATCAAAATTTTCGTATGTTTCTGCCAGACCAATTGCTACTATTTGGATGATGTTTTCCAAGCTGCCTCTCGATACTTTTGTTCATGGTAGAGAGTAGGCACCTAATGAACTACACAGAAGATCTGGGGGAAGTGAAGCAGAGATGCAAAAGTTCAGACTTGGAGGGAGAAATGAGTTTCAGAGTTTTTATGAGAACACAGAGTACACTTTCCACTCCCGCATTTTCCACACACTGATTATGCTTTAGTCACTAATTCACTTTTGAAGTCAAAAATGAAAGTTTAAAGAAATGCAAAGAGGGAGGCAACAGCAGGGATGAAATCATCCGCAGTATGAAGATGAGAGATCAACCCACCTGCTGTCAAATTTGATATGGAAAGGAAGGCCTTAGCGCTGACACATTTTGCTTCTCTGCAGCAAAGGCTTCACAATTAGACAATGTGATGATCAAGCTGCAGACTTTGTAAACAGTTGTGCAAAATGAGAGGGCAAAATGCGAGTCTGTGCCATTAAACTAGGTTGTTGGTTTTTTTGTTTCTTTTAAAGAGACAACCCACATCTTAGAAGCTGTTGGAAGGAAAATATGATTTTACTGTATGGTTCTTGGATTAGAGAAGGGAGCAGAAAGTAGGGATGATTGAAGAGGGGATAAGAAAGCTATCTTTATACCCTCTTAGTATTCTACTTAAGGATGATAAAATGATGTTTGACTGATAAGGCATATTTCTAAAAATATTTTAAAAAGATATGTATATGATTCTATATATGTATGTATATACACACATATATTTCATATGTTCTATGTACAAGCTTACATAAAATTATATATATATGTGCATAAAACATATACTTCTCTTTTTGAGTGTGTTCATAGGATTTTTTTCCTTTTTTTTCCTCTTTTTTTTTTTTTTTTCCTGAATATAGAGATGAAATTGTTCTTAATCTAAGAATGTTCCGAACTTCACAGCATGTATAACCGCAGGTCATGAGCTCAGTTAGAACCTGCCAGTTGAGTTGACAAAAAGTCACACTTTGAAAAAGCAAGACTGATAAGGGAAAAGCTAGAAAAATGTGTATGGATGTATTGTGCAAAAATATTACTAGCAAAGAAGGTACAATTACCTGGAACGTGTGAGGGAGATTAAGTTCTGTCATTGCTTATTTAATAACTGGAGGCAAGTTAGTTTAACTTTCAGTTTCATTTTTCATTTACGAAACAGGTATAATATCTCAGATCATGTCGTGTCTTTTGGGTAAATGTTAATGCTTTTGATACGTCGATCAGGAATAACTTCTGCTTCATTTGCTCATTCCTCTGTGTTTTTCTCCCTACCATGTGGGGCACATCCAAAATATGTGCTATAGAAGGGACCCATTTGTTTCTATCACTCCCATTTGATAACTGCATGGATATTCCTTCATGAATGTAGCCTTCCAGTTAGGTTTTATGAGACATCTCATAATGACCTACTTACTAGTAAAATTTCTCTAGAAAAGCAGCTTGTTTTCTTTCAGAGTTCAAAGATTTGTTCACAACTGTGTGTTTTAAAATAGGGAATTCAAAGAAAATGCTTTCAATATTTACATTGTCCAAAGCCATAACCTATGGCAGAATAAAGCAGTTACTTTAAAGGTAGATGCATATATCATTTCCTAAAATTATAGGAAACTAAGAACACTTACAGGAATTCAAATTCAAATGAGCTAAGGAAGGGCATCTATCATTACCAGAGGACTAGCACTCAAGAAGTTCTGCCCCCTTTAGGAACAATGAGATATTTTGAGTGGGTTCACTTCTAGAATAGTGGCTGCAAGTTCTGCCTACTAAGTTAGTAGGCAAAATATCCAAGTGAAATATTGTTTAAAGTATAGAAGCTTCTGTTTAGAGATATCAAAAACTAAATTTATCATTTTTGTTTTGGAGTTTTGTTGTTTGCTTTAATAGACATCTTTCTTGTGTTCAAGTTTCAGCCATCTGTCCCTTATTTTGCCCCAGACAATACTACCTACTACAAAGTCTTCAGCAACACAGAAGGCTACAAGCACATCCATTACATAAATGGCACAGAGGTAAGTTCTGTAAGACAATAACTGCTGACTTTTTTCTCCTGGTGGTCGAGAAGCCTCACATTCTATTTTTTGCCTTGCCTTTTTCTCCTCTCCAGGCTCCAGTACCTATTACTGAAGGAAAGTGGGAAGTAATCAGCATAGCAGCTGTAACCAAAGATTTTCTGTAAGTATCATAATTAAGCTATTGCCTCCTAGCAGTGTCTAAACAGACCAGGAGAGACAACAAGGAGAAGGCACCTTTTAATTTATTAAAAATCTGATCTAAACATGTAAGACAATCCTTTAAATATTGTATTATATTGGAAGTACTTTATCAAAACCTGTATACTTTGTTTTTCTAGGTACTATATTAGTAATCAAAATGATGAGATGCCAGGTGGAAGGAATCTTTACAAGTAAGAAATTTGTTCTGCGCTATGAGTAAAATATCTGCTAATGAAAACGTAACACTTTCTCTTAAAATTTCTATGTCAAAGATTAGGCTGTTCATAATCTAGAGAACCTCCAGTAATAGGATATTTAATTAAAATCAACATAATAATTAAACTTCAAAAAACTGTAGTATTTTTCTGTAATCTTAGTTATAAAGAAACAAGCAAGTTGCCCCTGAAGAAAACCTCTCATGCTTTTACTTTTGCTGTGATGATAATTCCAGCATTAACTGAAATTAAAAATTTTAAATCTCTTTGCTTTGTTATTTAAGTCAGTAAGGGCTTTACTGTTGAATTTTATCAAATTCTATTTGGTCATCTTATTTAAAAGAATATACTTCTGCTCCATTGTTTTTTTATTGTTTGTTTTTTTAAATAATAATTTTTCATCTCTGAAATTAAGCTCATCTACCTTGCAGAATGCTCTTGGAAAGCAGTTCAAAATCTACTCAGTGTGTTAGCTGTGATTTGAATCGAGAAAGATGCCAGTATTATTCTGCTTCCTTCAGCAAAGACGCACAATATTATCAGCTAAATTGTCTTGGTGAGTACATCTGGAATTAACTGACATAAGTATGACTCACTGTTTAGTTGGGTGGGGAAGTTCACCCTGTTAAGACCTTGATAGGCACTGAATAACGGCCTTATGTGTTGGTATTGGCAGCGGAAAAACATACTCCCTTCTAGGTTTAAAAGCAACTCAATAAAATTACAAGGTTATAAATTATAGTCCTATCCATTAATGGACCTGAAAGGAGCAGCAAACATTCCTGTTCTGTATGCAAACCTGATTATCCTCAGGAGCTGCCCACATAATTAGATGCCATTTGTAATATGCTAAAAGTTGCAGCGAACTGCAGTTTCTTTATAGCAAGTTAAAAGAACAATAACACCATATCTTATGGATTGAAATTCCTTCATCACAATTGTGACAAAGACGAGGTAGTACCTTACTTTGAGGCCAGAAAGAATAGAGAAATTTCTCTGCCAATGAGGTGTTTGAAGATAGGAAATCATTGCTAAGGCCCTGTAGGAGGACTTGCTTCTCTTTTCCAGGCTGTTCCCATAGAGCACTGCATACAGTTGTACTGTCTAAGGGAATGTGCGTAGGGTGCTCTAACAGTAGAAGGGATCTGTAGGTCTGGGAATGACAGGCTATCAGCTAGGTAAAGTGATCTATGTGGGAATAAAATTAAGACAGGTAGCACTGCTTAAAGAATCCACTGTATATAATTACGTAGTCATATGTTAAGCACTGGGACTGCAGTCCCAGTATAAGCACTAGATATAAAAGATAAATGAATCACAGGTGGGGAAAAATAAAAAACTTTCTAAGATTTCCACTTGAAAAGCATGTACCTCACAGTCACGTAGTTTGCCTGCAAGACAATTTGAATATTTATATGATGTTTCGACTTCAGTTTGGGCCCCATTAACTGAAAATGATGCACACAGAATGGATGAAAATGAATTCTGAGCCTTTGTGATTCACCCAATTCCAATTATTTTTTCAGAGTTGTTTTTTGAGACAACATGCAAACATAAAGGTTTTGTGCTATGTCAACAGGTCCTGGCCTGCCCTTGGTTACTCTGCACAGAAGTAGTGATGATCAAGGTATGAAATTGTTTTAAAATATAATTTCTGTTAAACCACGAACATGCATTGTAAATTTATTTTAATTCTCATTGCCTAGTATAATAATTAAAAAGTCAGTTTTATCTGAAATTAAATTTATCCTTTATTTTTCTACTATAGTTAACCACAAGGATAAAATAAGCAGTTCAGCTTGCAGCTATTAATACTTTAGTTAATATTGTCTTACACTGTGCTAGAAAACTGTAAGTAATCTGAGTCGTATTTAGTGGACAGTTGTTTGGGTTTTGTGAAAATGCAGTTAGATGGAAAATGTGAAGCTGGCATTCTGGTTTCTAAATTACTGAGGAAAAACTATGCCAGAAGCATTGACTATGAGAGAAAAAACAAAAACTGCAGTATACTGAGACTACCAAGTAGGTGGCCATCTTCTCAGGTTGACTTTTCAAAGTGATTCATATTCAGAGAGTAATGGATTTGAAAATAGTGTTTCAGCTTTGACACTTATGAACTGTTATTTAGTCCTCAGGTACTTGGAAAATAATACCGAACTGGAAAACTCATTGAAAGATATTCAAATGCCTTTAAAAATACTTGACTCCATTCCTGTAGGAGGATACAGTAAGTTCAAAAACATTTTACTTTTCTTCTCCGCTTCACCAAGTCCTTCAAGGTCTTCTGTTAAAAGAGCTTGACAAAAAAGATGAGTGTAGAAGATATGTTTGCAGTTATTTGGTGCTTAGAAATAAGAAAAATATATTACATGTGTGTGTATGTATGTAGAGATTTGCTGAAATACACAAGCATTCTGACCTAAAGTACTCTTTTTCCATACTGTGACGTCTTCAAGTTCTCATAATGATATGGATTTGCTCCATTTTTCCTTGATATTTACCTGAAAAATAGTAGAAGGCTCTACCGCTAACTTGGAGGGAAAAAAAGGAAAAAAGTGAGGTGGAGCAGGCACAACATTTGTAAAGCACGTTACCTTAAATTCTAAATTCAAGCAGGTCTTAATTTACAGACGTACATTTCTTTATATGGAGAGAGCAGGTGGGAGGTGACATACAATTATTATTGAAAAATTTTCTAGCTTAAATGGGAAAGCTTGCAAATCAAAAAACACTTCAAGATTACCTTTGACCTTCTGCAGGGGATATTTCAGTTGAATAGTCACATTGTTAAAAGCATGTTCACACTCAAGATTACATAAACCGAATAACAAAATGTTAGAAAACAAACTGGTAATGCTTTGCTCATAGTGCTTATTTGAATTTGCACATCCAGGTACAGACAATTCCTTGGAATGTTCCTAGACTGAGGAACATCAGATAGGTACCAGGCCTAACACTGCCATTCTGTCTGAACTGTTTTTGCTCAAGCCTTTGCTACTAGCTTTTCTGTTTGTGACAGACTTCCTCTTGATAAAATGAATATTCTTAAATTTTATTTTACATGCTGTATTGATTTCTCTCAGTCCCTGTAACCTGTTCTTTTAGATGTCTCCCTCCTTCTACTGTTACCTTGTTTAATAACAGTCTTTATCTTTGTGTTTTCTGTCTTTTATTTTAGTCACATTTTTAATAGGGCTAAAGATGAAATCTTCCAGGAAAGATGGAGGTTTAAAGATGTTCTTCATGCTATCAGTTGTGTATTCATCTTTTTATTCTTCTTTGTTCTTACTTCATCTCATCAGGGTAAAAACTTCTGGGTAAGGGGATTCTATTTTTAATGTCACAAATAGGATAAACAAATTCATTTCTGTTGTCCTAATTCAAGTTCCAAGTCTGCTTGCGAATCAGTGTATTACTTGTACTTACGTACAATGTGCTTATCAAAGAAATTGACTCCTATGACTGCAAGAGTACATAGATGATGCAAAATAAAGAAAAAAAATGTATTTTTAAATGTTCAATTAAGGCTTAGAATTTTTCAGTGGTTTTAATGTATTGCATTTTCCTGTTTAGACAGATTGCTGCAATACTGTAATACACTCTAATCATAACTGCAATGCAGTCCATTATAATTGCTTCATGCTTCCTTTACAGTGTCCATTCTTTTAAAAATAATGAGTGAATGGTAAAGCCAGTTGGTTTGCAAAACTTATTTTGTGTGCATTTCAAATATTCTCCTAGCTCTCTGACAATTTCTGTAGAAAGAGCAACATGGATAGAACCAGAACAATGTTGCTTGAGGAAATAACACATACTTGGGTATGTTTCTGTGATGCTTTACGAACTACTCTGTAAAGCCTCCATGGTAGGTAGATAGTATTTAGAATTTCTTTTTTTAGTGTTGGGAAAGAAACTTGCGTATTGAAATATTTTTGAGTTTGTTGTAGAATTTCCTCTGGAGATACTTACCTAGTTTTACAGGTAAGCTTTATAATGTAGGATAATTTTAAAGGAAAGCATGTTGATGCCACAGATTGTATTATTTTAGAAGAAAGTTTGAAACTAGAATGCCTAACTTTGCTCTATATATTTGTTTACTTAGCTGGAAACCTTTACTTGTATATGTTAGTACAGTTCAGATGAAGCTACTTTTTAAGGGAGTGATTTGAATGTGCCGTTATACGAATTGCGATGTATGTCAAGTTATTTTACTGGAGCACTGACAAGAGTTACTTGCTTCCCTTTTAGACCTCTGGTATCAAATGATATTGCCTCCCCATTTGGATTCATCAAAGAAGTACCCCTTGCTCCTTGAAGTGTAAGTCTTCAACTTATGTGGGAATGTTGTGTTAATAATCAATCGCCTTTGTGTACTTCAAATCCTCTTAATAAGATCAGGAAGCATTGAACTGATGTGTTTTCTAATTACTTCTTGAAGGAGTTTTAATAGAGAATGAAAATAAGGGATGTATCCCATTTGTGATAAATTTCTGTGCCATAAGATGATGCTGTGCTTAATATGAGCGTATTTTGTGACTGGCAGTGGAGCAGATATATTCTGTATCTTATTTAAAAGCCAGGATGTTAGTGTTAACTTGCTATGTTCTCTGCTCTTAGTTCTTTAGGAATATTTTCAATGAAACTACATTTCAAAATGAAACCTTGAATAAATCATGTATCTGTGATATTTGACTGTTTGGAGCGTTGTCTCATTTTGCAGAAATATCCATTATATCTGCCTTCTGCATTTAGTTCAAATGCCAGTCTTGCCACTTACCTATTTTAAGGGATGAGAGAAAAAAGTGAGATAAGCCATGTCTGGTCAAAAAAATCAGGCTGGTAAACAGCCAATACAAAGGTTAGTTTAGCTCAGTTTGCTTATCGTTCGTTTAACAAAAAAAGTTGAAAGAAATATTTTTCATGAAAGTTTTTTTTGAAAGTTTTTTTTTTTTTTAAAGCTGTTTTTTTTGTTTGTTTGTTTGTTTGTTTAAGACCTTAATCTCCTTAGAAAAGGAGACCCAATATTCTGGATTTAAGAGTTAATATTCTGGATTTAAGATGTGAGATTTACTTGTATTGTCTTCAGATGAACAAATAACCAGATTCTGTTATTCTACTTAGAAATTGCTGAAATCAACATAAATGTTTTTTTAAAATTGGGATGATCATTACCTTAGAACTATTCTGTATGGGTTTTGTTCTCACTGAAAACAAGCAGAAGACCTTTTTTCCACTTGAATTAATCTTAACTAGAGAAATACACCCTTGCCAGAAAGGAGTTCTTCCTGTTCTGAGAAACAAGGCATAAAAAAAGACATTGAACAGCTAATGAATGTGTGCCGTTTGATCCACTCTTCCTTAAGCACTTCTGTTTGTGGCAGTACATTTTCTTCTAACTGGAAATTACTGAAATGTTAACTTTTCCTTTGTTTACCAGGAGATTACTCCCAAAAAAGAATAATCATTACCTATTAGATACACCTTTATATAATATAATTTGGGACCACTATAACAGTTTTTGCCTGCTGAACACTAATGAGCCATCAGCGTTCTTCTGTTGTACAAATTCCTTTTCATTTTGATTCTTTTCTTTACTGACACCTGAGCCACTGTTTGGGTCACCTCTGCTTCATAGTTATCCTTTTATTAGAAACCCCTTCAGCAGTGGCAGGATTCAGAGTGTACAGAAACAAAGTCAGACATCAACATTTCTATTAGCCTTTTTTTGCTTTCAAAACAGAGAGAAGTAAATTATACCAGCTATGAGAGCCACAAGATCACTCTTACTTTGGTGGGCCTTCTGTTGGACAGTGGTTAGGCAAATGCGAGCATAATTGCACCTTGCAGGTACTTAATCTGATTTTGTAGAATTCAACTGCTTCCAAATACTTTCAAATAAAAAGTTACATTTTCAGTATTTTATTCCTTTTTCACAGCATGCTTAAAAAATAGCTTGCTTAGACAGTAACAGTTAATCCTCTGATGAAACACTAAAAATGCAGGAGAGATCTTTTTCATGTCGTAGATGAAGGCTATTTGTTTATTTCAGACTTTAACCAGAAAAAATTTAAGTAAAATGAACAGAAATAGGTAAGTCATCACTGAAACTCAGATGACTGGATACGTCAACACAAACAAGGAAGATTTTGAGTGAGATTTCTGATAAGCCACTTAAATGATGAAAGCTTCCTATTACAGTAAAAAAGCAATAAAACAAAATTCCAATTTCAAAAGCATATTGGAGTCAGAGTGATGCTTTTCTTGTTCATTCTATTTAGTTTAAAAGTTCGCCCTTCTTGTGCAAATTGTTTCAAATGCTATATGAGTGACTGTGGAGAGTAAGTGCTTGAATGCTATGGGTCTTTTCACCCAGGTATGCAGGACCCTGTAGTCAGAAAGTAGATCATGCCTTCCGGATTAACTGGGCTACGTACCTTGCCAGTACAGAGCAGATAATTGTGGCCAGCTTTGATGGCAGAGGAAGTGGATACCAGGGAGATGAGATCATGCATGCAATAAACCGAAGACTGGGAACCTATGAAGTGGAAGATCAGATTTCAGCAGCCAGGTAAGCTACAATGAAATGGTCAACAACTGTGCCACCTTTTCTGTGCTTATGTCAAAATTATTAGCTAAAACATGGCTAAATTCTACGTTCGCTTTTTTAGTGTCACTTATTCCAACCATCATTTTATGCTCAAAAAGAGAGAAGAGTTAACACTATAGTAAATTGACCATATTTCTGGTTTTATAGGGATGGTAGCTGTCACTTTAGTTAAGAAAAGCATACCAACAATGAATTTGTAATTTAAAGTTTTTCTCCAAGCTTTTTTGCAACTTTCTGTTGCAACTGAGACTTACTTGTATGCATTGAGGTACCCTTTGTTTATGTTAATCTTTCTCATTTAGTTTATATTGAAGAATCTCATGGAATTTAATAATTCTTTTAGAAATACATATGGAATTGAAAAATTGGCAGAGAGGTGGGATCAGGACAACTTGGTTATCAGACCTAATTCTAGCAAATGATACAGATCTCAGTGGATGTGATTTAAGAGTTTTTGCAGACCTCTCGGGTCTGCTGTCATAAGGAGTCACTGCTGTGCAGTGGGAAATGCTTATTCACAGAAGAGAAAGAGGACAACAAGATGAAAACTAGGCACGTCTGCACCATGGCAGATTCCTGCAATCTATTAAGTGTTTAATTATTCTGTTTGTTTTTAGAACGTTTTCTGAAATGAGCTTTGTCGATAAGGACAGAATAGCTATTTGGGGCTGGGTAAGTGCTCAAATTTGCTTGGCTGGCTTACTTAGTTGTAACAACTAGTTGTTGTACTGCCTCCTGTGGGTGTGATGTACTTGAGTATCGAATGTGAGCACCTCTGGCATAGCATCACAGTCCATCTTGAATGGATGAAGTGTGTCATGCAGTTGCCTGTATGCATGAGACATTTCCCATTTGTGTTCAGGTGCTTTTGAATCAGAAGTTCAGACTACTGGAGAGACTAAAAACTATTTAAAGAGAGACAGCCAAGTTACTGTGTACCAGATCATAGAATCATAGAATGGCCTGGGTTGAAAAGGACCTCAAAGATCATCTAGTTTCAACCCCCTTGCTGTGGACAGGGTTGCCTACCACTAGACCAGGCTGCCCAGATATTAATATTTAAAGAAAAAGTCCAAATATATTCAATAATATCTCTTGATATCAATTGGATTACTCCAGATTAGAAATAATAATAATGAAAGGCTGGATGGTATGCTTGTAGCATTGTCACTAGCAGTCTGAAAATACCTAAATGTACTGTTTGGTTTTGCTTATTTTATTTCACGCTAGATTTCTCTGATTTGGCTACATTTTTAAATCTGTTACAGAGGAGGGGAGCACTTAATAGCATATATATAGCTTCTCAGCTTCAAGGTAAATCATACGTGTGTGTAGCATTAGTTGTAGCTTTTTGATTCAAGCTCTGTTTAAACATTTCTTAATCCTAGGGTGCCATTTCATTGTTTTTCTGGTGTTCAGATAGGTGGTTTTTGCATGCTTTATGTTGAATTAAATACAGGAATGCATGCAGGATCTTGAAGTAAATTGTGAGCTGGAATTTCTTCATTGCTGATAACGAGCACCAGAGAATAACTGTTTGAAGGCAAGTTATGATGACTTTAGAGATGCCTTTAGTACCTCTCCAACACCACTGTTGTATGAAGTTGAGCCTTCTGTAATGAGCATTATCAGGAGGAAAATTCTTTCTGCAGAAACAGAGGACTTAATGCATTCCCATCTTACTGCTTATGAGCCTCGAGATGAATAGCTGAAGATCAGTCCTCCTGGGGCTAGGCTGGGGGTCATGTATCCTGGATACCAAATCCATGGGAATTTCTTTCTCTTGGGTTTTCAGATTGTCAGCCTCTCACTAAGTGCATTCATTTTGCCAGGTTATGCAAAGTATTCATACATGGGTTTAATTAGTAAGTACATGCATTACGTTGCTGATCTCATTGAGAAGTCTTAAGTATTGAAGCTGGAGCAAACATTTAAGAGCTTTGAACTAAGCCACAGTTCCATCTGCCTATAATCTGTTCTCAAGGCAAAAATGAGATCCAAAAATCACTCTTCTTTTTGAATGTGGGTGGGCACACTTTCCTAAATAACATCTTCAAACTATGGTGAGGGCAGTCATTTGGGAGGTTGGTGACATTGTTTAGGTATCTTGCTGCCTGAATGCTCAAGTGTGTCGGTTATTTACTCATCTGTGTATCGAGCTAGACTGTGAATGTTCTGTGCCTAGCAAGAAGTGTCTTGCTGCACAGTTCCTCCCACAGAATCAGCAGAAGATCCTTCACTCCCAGTCACAGTCTTGCTCTTATGCTTTGTAAGAGAGGAAGTAAGTGAGCTGCCGTAGGCCTGTTCTGAGGGAGCTGTAAATTTTCGGGTGCCCTGGTACAACTACTCATCAAGCATGTTACAGGCCTTAGCTCTGCTTCCACCTACTTCCCCAGCACGGAGAGGGACACAGTGGTTCAGCAGTGTCTTGTTTCCTGTCTTTCGCTGCTGCCTACAGTGCTACCAAACACTGTCATTCTAAGCTGAGTCACAGATCAACGGCGTTTGCACCCCTTTTCCACAGCAAACTCTCATTCATCAGAGCCACAGCTGCCATGTACTGTTTGATGTCTGTTTCCCGCACTGTGCAGGCTGAGTGAGATCTGACCCAAATTCAGAATGGAATTCATTAATATGAAAAATGCTGATCCTATAAATGTCTGAACCACTTAGCAGATGGGCCCCATCCTTTTCTTTCCGACTAAAATAACAGCAATGTTTTCTTCTCAGTCTTATGGGGGATATGTGACCTCCATGGTGCTTGGCTCTGGAAGCGGCGTGTTCAAGTGTGGAATAGCGGTTGCCCCTGTGTCACGTTGGCAATATTATGGTATGTGATGGCTTCCTTGTTACAAGGATTCCCATATGTCTTGCAGTGCACATGCTGCAAAGTGTTGACTCATAGTGCAGAACTTTGATTATCTACTAGATGCCGTATAAATGCCATTTGGTCTGTTTTTATGAACTCATGGGTATTGCATTTCAGAATAAAAACCAGTTCCCTAAACCTTATTTCCCTTTTAAAAAGTTACAACCACAATTTCAGATAATCTCTATGACCTTTAATGATGCAAAATTTTTATATTTGTAGCAATACTGTAATATGTCTGTGCATGTATTCCTGAGCTGCCACATGTTATGAGGTACTGAGACCAGTATCGAGTATACATTGTGTATTTAAAATGCTACCTTTTTTAAAAAAGAGAGAACTGTGAGACCTAAAATCAAACTTACATTGCAAACTGCTCTCTCAAAACAACAATCAAATTTGCATTCCTTTTGTTTTTGTCTTTTTTTCTTCCTTTTAAGAATGTAAAATTTGGATATAACAGATTTAATTTTACACGTAGCTTGATGTGAGGAAAAGCTGAACAATTGACAAGTCTGGACAAGCTTCCATGTTATAGTTTATAAGGTTGTGAGACACACAAGGCTATAAATATGGTTTTATAGAGAACTTCCTCCCAGATAATAATGTATAGTTAACAGTACAGTAGATGTTAGTACAGTGTGGCAATGTTTTAACATTTCTCTTGTTCAGCATCAAAAAATTGACAACACTGACAAGAAAGCAAATGGACATTAAAATATGTTGACATAACAAACATTGGTTTGTATGGTTAAAATAAAGCAGTAAATTTTCAAAAGTAATAGGATATCATACTGAAAAATCTGTGAAAAATTAGATATTAAACTTTGACTATATATAAGACAGACCCCATCTGAGTCCTAAGCTTCTTCAACATTTCATATCATAGATCTTAACCAGTACGTATTTAGATTAAAAAAGTAATATATTTTTTTAAATGCTCATCATTTATCAAACTGTTTTAGCAGCTATTTCAGCAATTTTCTTAGGCTTACTGAAAGAATAACAATAAGGTAACATTGACGTAAAGTACTTTATTAATATTCAATATTCATGTGTCCATGGCAACCACAAGATTAAATACTGAGAATAATAATGGTTACCTACATAGCTCATTGTGGAAAACTTGGTTTTTATCTTCCATCTCTTTTTAATTTCCAGTATTTATTCTTATTGTGTCTATCAGTGTGTGAAATGTCTGGCAGACAGAAATATTGGAAATTAAGTAGTACATTCTATTTGTTGTTGTTTTTTTTAATTACAGACTCAATATACACGGAGCGATATATGGGCCTTCCTATAGAAAGTGATAATCTGAGAAACTATAACGTAAGAAATCACTTGATTTCATTTTTAATTATGTTCTTTCTTTCCTAAGCTGTTCTTCATGCAGTTTATTGCATCCCAGTGTGAAGAATTAAGTTTGTTTCTTCATTCCAGTGTTAATTATTGCATTCCACTTTTAGAGGTTGTAGCCTCATGCTTTTGTATTTGAATGAGGCAGTTACTCCTTCCTGTATAGCATGGGCTCTCTGTTGTTTATTTGGTTTACTCATTTTTGTTGGGTTTTCTTTCTTTTACATTCAGTTCCATTTGGCTACTATGCAGACTGTAAAATAAGCTGTAAAACTGTTTTATTTTAATCACTAAGAAACAAATTTGTTTTAAGATGCTCATGGACAAACTATGTATTCCCTCAAAAAAAAAAACAAAAAAAAAAAAAACCAACAAAAACAAACAAATAAAACCCTCAAACATTTCCACCAAAACAAATCCATGCTAGTTCTCTCTAAAATTTAATCAAAAAGCATGGATATCATGAATTTTCCAACTTTGGAAGCTGTAAGCTTTATTCAGGGAAAGAAAAATCACTCTGGTATTTGGAAACCTTTACAGGGAGTCAAGCCTGTCATTACTCTAAGCATACAAATACACTGCAGATCAACCGAGAGCCTCCTTGGGACTTCTCTATGAATATAGGGTTTCTGAAAGTTGATCAAAAGTAACTGATGTTTGCCCAGAAATTAGGGAATTTCCAGGTGGGAACAAAATACCTGTGGATTTTGCCTCATTGTACAGAGAAGTTTCTGACGGAGGAGCAATGTCTACCCTCTGTGTGCCAGCAGCTTTTTGTTGCTTAAAAGGCTTTTTCAAATTGCAAGCAGCTAGAGTACGACAGGGCTGCCCTAACCTTCTTAAGGTTTTGTTAAATTTCAGATTGAGGTGGTAATACACTGATTATTGGAGAAGAGTGAGTGATGTGAGAGGTACTTTGTTATTGCAGTAATTCATGAAGAGGTTTAGCCATAATGATGTTGGAACCAAACATAAATTTTAGAGAAAAAGAGATGGGGCATTCTCTCTGTTTAGTTTGGTAAATGTTTGATTCTTTTTTCTCCCTGATACACAGTCAGTCCTACGCTATTTCAATATCTTGAGGTGGGAAAGAAAGAGTGACTTGACAGTGTGTAAAACATATGAATATATACACTGAAATACAGAGTGAAGTGTCTGTTTTGACATACTACAACAATGATCTAGTTTGTCAACTGCTGTATGAGCTGAGGAAATCAGCAGTGATTGCAGGGTTATTGTCTACTGTGTCCACCTCTAATAGGCGAGCTGCTAGGGCCCAGCAGGGCTGACCAGCAGCCTGCAGCAGCCTGCCTGCTTTTTTCCAAATGCAATTCTTTATGGCAATGGGAACAGTAGGAAGTCTGTGAGGTAGCAGAGTAAATAGAAGTTACTGTCGTTGCGCGGAACGAACGTTAACGCTCTGGGTGCACAAAGTCATTCACCAGCTTCACGGCACAGATGGCAACAGAGGACTGTTTAATCCTTTCAAGCCAGGAGTCGGATTTTTTTGGCATAGTATTCATTGCTGGCAATGGCCACGTTGAAACTGCCAGTACCAAAGAGCTAAAGGTTTCAAATGTGTTACTCTGAGGACTAATTGGGGAGAATGGTGGCTAGATGGAGGAGGGGCAATTGCACAGATCAGATTGTCGCACTTCATTGCTCCTTCTAGAGACAGGAAAATTTGACTTAAGTCTTCATTTATTGCTGAAAGCTATAAATAACGCATTACTTGAAATTTGCTTTTCCACATAAACTTAGAGGGTGAGTAGCTTCAAAGGTGAGTTTGTTGTTTTTCATATAGCTACAATGAAAGAGTCATGGGATGCTATTGTTGCTGAAGACCTTTCCTGACCTCCACCCAGCATGTTTCTCTGGCTTACAGGGCCTTCCTTCACTGGCTAAGGCCCATTAAATCTGCTCTGGCCTCTTACTGAAGCTGAAGGCCAACTCCTGCACTGTGTTGTTCAGCAAAACAAGTACTGAAAAGCTCTCCTAGCTAAAGCTGTTAAAGCATGTTAACTTCATACTGTCAGGTTTTCATGCTGCATTATATATTCCCTGTTCTACCGCAAAAAACATGAAGCTGGTTTGAAAGTGAAAGGTTGCATTAACTAACTCTGTACTGTGTGATCTAATTTAAAAGAAATGGGGCTATGTGCACACCTGTTGAGAATAGGTGTATGTTGCTAAATGTCTCCCTAAAGCAGAGTGATATTAATGACTGTGAATGTATCATCTCAAGAAACTACATCTAGTGGTGTTGAGAGGTACACCCTACCTATGTATTAAGGTGACATTAGATCTCACGTTTATTGATGGATCAGATCTGACATTCAGTTACCAGGTTGAAGGATGGTTCATAATCCTCTCTGTAAGGTACTTACGTGTGATTGGTGCCCCTTAAGGGTTGTGAGGTATTAAAAGTTGGCATTTTGTAAAAAAGACAGTCATGAGCATGGGTAGGGCTCCAACTATAAGCATGAAAATACGAGTACAGGTCCTAGGCCAAATGGCAGAAATCTTATCTGATGTCAGAAATGTCCCTGATGTAAAGGACTGGAAGCTAAGGTAGGCTGGAGGTTTGCCGGTCAGATGTAGTAGCCACGTAAAGCATATCAAAGAGGACTGTTCAACTTGTGAGATTATTTTGCAGTTCACTCTGAATTTGATATGCTTTTGGCAAGTATTTGAAACAGTCATAGATTTGGCAATCTTTTTCTAGCAGATTTGAAATGTTCAGTCCTTAAGAACTGCTGCATCATTAGGTTATGCAAAACAGGGTACAATTTTGTAAATATGCCATCTTGTACTGATTTGACATTTGTTCTATTATCTGAGAATATGCTTAAAGGGAGAGAGACCTTCAGTTTCAGCCAAACCTTAACTTGTTTGTTGAGTGCTGATAAAATGTTGACTGCTGTGTGATCTTTAGAAAAGCCAGTTACACTCAGCAGGGCCTAATTCTCAGAGTTGCACACAGCCCATTTTCAGACCCTTTGCCATGACATGAAAAGGAAAGGATAAACTACATTGCGTTTACATACGGTTCACCTGGGGTTTGTTCAGCTATTTCAGCTGTGGCTTGAGTTCAGACTGCGTCTAACTTCAGACTGTTTGCTACTGTGACATCTCTTATCTTTTTTTTTTTTTTTTTTTTAGGAAGGGATAAGGTGGCAGAAATGCTTTGCATTTACTGCACAATTTAGGAAAAGGGAAGGCAGTCTGTGTTATGTATGGGTACAGCAAGAGATAAATGACTTAGAAAAGAAATTCTCCCATTTGTGTACGCCTTCTTTCTGAAGTATTCTACAACTTTATTTTGTTTAATGATTGGAGACAAAAAGAAATGACATGCTGTTCTTAAAACTGCTTTTGGAAGGTCAAATCCTTAAAATTGTAGATCAAGTAAGGCTTCCACACATAGGTTTGCTGTTCCTTAAACTAAATTAGCATTTATTTGCTGGGAGAAATCTTATAATCTACCAAGTTCTGTTCCATGCCTATGGAAAGCTTTTCAGACAAAGGATAATACCTGTGTCATTTTCTTTTTTTATACACTGGTTGGCCATGGTAATAGTGCTTCTTGCTTTATGTCCCCTCAGATTCTGGCACTCTTACTTAGCTATCCATACTCTCGTACTGGAGTGTTTCAATGGCTAGTGACAAACTTCCAATGTGCACAGCCTTCTACGCATTTGATGGGGCTTCTGTTGAACTGCAGCTTAGATTATGAAAAGATGGCAAATGCAGTGTCATGTGTTAGAGGTGTTTGGTTGGTTTCCTCCTACTGGACTCAGTCTTTAAATTTGATTGAATTACTACAAATGAGAGGTTGCAGTATGGTATTTTGCTATGACAAAAGAAATTTAATATCAATGCTTTCTTTAAAGATACTTTGTATTTAGTACACCAAAAAAAGTCAAATGCATTTACTACCAAGAAATGGAAAAATTTCTATTTCCTGTCTGTAAACTTATGCAAATTCCTCTGCACAGATGCAGCCTTCGTGCAAATTGAGGGGGAAAAAATATTCATTTTTTGTTCCTTCTACTTATTTTCTTAGCCACAGTAGCTTTTAAGTTGCTCTAATATGGAGAACACATACTTACTTCTACAGGGACTTGGGCATTTTTAGAAGAGAACCTCTGTAATGGTGCTAACAGAAAGAAATTTCATTCAACATATTTGGCCCCATAATGTTAGGTGTCTGTCTTATCAAGCATCCAGTATCTTGTATTGTCCACATGCTCATGGAATGGTGTTGTTCCCATCCTCATGGCAAAGTGCTATCCTATTCCCTTTCCTTGCCCAAATGCAGTTTCTGATTTCTTTACTTTCCTCATTCCTTAGTACCTGGTCACAATAGTTTCTGGTGAACATTTATGTTAGTGTTTTCAATTTGTTGATTAATTTAAATTGCTGATTTTTTTCATTGCTGTATTATAATTCCCAAAATGTAGATTGACTTTTATTTATAGATTTTTTTGTCTTGGGAGTTTTGGTTTGTTTTTTTTTTTTGTCAGGCATGTTTCTATTACACTTGGAGGAGGTCATTGTTTTAAACTTCTGAGATGTAGTTACTTGAGAATGATGATGTACATGTATACAAGCCCTGCTGGCTTAGCTACAGGTTTACCGTAGCGTACATGTTGGAGAGAAAAATAATGAAATAATGTGTGTAGTCTATAATATCTTCTCCTTTCTATCATAGGATGCACTGTTGCCATGGCAACATTTTTAACTTGCCTGCAGTAACGCAGAAAACCAATGGTAAGTGGTGTGCTGCAGGCTAACAACATGCTAGCAAAGCATTAAATGTGTATCTCACTCACAAAACTCTTCCCCTCCGGACTTGCTTGTCACTTTGCAGACATAACCTTTGGTAATGATTGCAGACCAGTGCAGAGTGTGAGCACAGTGCTGTTGGATATGTGAATATGCTACTTTGGGGGAGGAAGGCAAGGGTTGTTGCCTTTTATCTGAAGAACCCCAGGCTGTGTCAACAGGAATCAAAGTCAGGTGGTAGCAAATAATCATCTAACAAATAGCACCTTTTTTTCTTTTTTCCTTTTCTTTAATTTCAGAGTTCAACAGTAATGGCCAGAGCTGAAAAATTCAAGGAAGTTGAATATCTCCTTATCCATGGAACAGCAGATGGTGAGTTGCAGTTAATTAGACATTTTAGTATTACAGACAGGTTTGCAATTCTACTACTGACAAAACAAAAGCATGAAGGGGCAAGGCTGTTACATTTACGTCAATAAAATAAATCAGCTTCATGCTACTAATTTGTGTCTCAGTCAGCAGTGCTCGGGAGTCTGTGTTCATTGTTTTGCTTTTTCCCCCCATAGTAGTACTGAAACAATTTTTGTTTACCTTTTCCATTTTTTTCTTCCATTTTTCAGATAATGTTCACTTTCAGCAAGCAGCTCAGATTTCCAAAGCTCTTGTTGATGCTGAAGTGGATTTTCAGGCAATGGTATGGTTGTGTTTTTTTATAATTATCATATGAATTGACTTGTCTTATGAGAACGGCAGCAATAGCCCCCTCTAGTTAGGTAGAAAACAACTGCAATCTTAAATCAAAGTTTATGTATTTGTATTTCATGTTCAGTAATTGAAATCATAACATAACTCTCTATATATCTGCTACACAAGAACAAAAACTAATGCAGTTACTTCTGGTATTTGATCTTCCATTTTATTTTTCTGTATTCTCAAATCAGCCAATCCAGTCCCAGTCTTAGAAAGCATACTACTGAGTGAGCTATTTCTATATAAGGAAAAGTAAACTTAAGCTAAGTCCATTTCTTTACCCAACATAAACTTTTGGCATCTCTTTTAGACTTGTAAAGACAGAGCAGTTATTTTGCCCAGTCTTACATTGTACATGAAAATTCTCAGATTAAGGTAGCTGTGCTTCCTTTTTCTACTTGCTCCCAGCCCTTGAGGAACAATGGATAAATACAGAATGAAGCCAAGTGCATCACTGTGTGGTCTGTCCTTCAGCAGGGATAATAATGTAGTGAGAAGGGACACCATTCTTAACAGAGAAACTGGATCTAGCTTACAGAATCACAGAATGGCCAGGGTTGGAAGGGACCTCAAGAATCATGAATCTGCAACCCCCTGCCACATGCAGGGCCACCAACCTTTACATTTAATACTAGACCAGGCTGCCCATCCAATCTGACCTTGAACACCTCTAGGGCTGGGGCAAGTGAACAAGTAATGTAATTATTTTGTACTTCTAGCATGAATAACTGGTGTATCCCACACAGAAAGCAGGGACAAATCACTGCAGCTTCTTGCTATGATTGTCTTTGCTGAATTAGCCTCATCCTCGATGGCTGATTTTTATTTTTTTTTAATCTGTTTTTATGTCTATTGTTTGATTTATATGACTTCTATGTAGCTAGAAGTAACAGTCTCTGTATTTTCTTTCCTGCAGTGGTATACTGACAAAGACCATGGCATCAGCGGTCAAGCACATAAACACATTTATACCCATATGAGCCATTTCATAAAGCAGTGTTTCTCACTGCCCTAACATAGCAGTGGCAACACCTTTTTGCTTTTTAGTGATGGTATTTCTCCAGAAAACTCCTTAGCTAATATACTGAGCCAGTATAAACTTTTAATATGACATAGGGGAGTCAGCTCTTGGGATACCTGAGTGTTATACAATGAAGCACTAATCTTAATGATTTCTGTTGCCAAGCAACCATTGCATTTTTTGATTGTTTAATCAAGTCATTAACATCACCAGAATGTATGTATGTAGACTGCAGACGTCCAGAAAGCACAGTACTTACTTGAACCAGGAATTATGCTTTGATATTTCAATCTTTAAAAAAATAAAAAGCAAACCTCCAGCTTGTCTACTGGTGTAATGAATACTGAAAATAACATCAAAGAGAAACTGACATGGTAATCATGATGCTTCCCCCCAACAATGATTATTTCTATGAAAATGCTGATAAAACTTTGAACAGATTTTGCTGAAATTACCTAATGCTTGATCAGTGATTTTAGAAATGTATCAGTAATTTTGCAACATTAATAATTCCTACGCAGAATAAAACAGGTTACTTCAGTCCCTTGAGTTATTATTTAACTGCAAACTCTTGGATTACAGTTGCAGAATCTTACATGGAAAGCACGCAACCAGCTTTTACCAGAAATTGTGAATGATACTTAAACTAGTGGCTTTGAATTTGTTTCCTATCACTGTACTGTGATATTTACTTCATAAACACAAAGGCTGCAACTGTGGAAACCTGCACTGGTACTCTAGCAGATCACAATTGTTTCTCTATGGGACAGAAATCTTTTTTTTAAGATAAATAAAATCCTATTTTCCAATAAGATAGATTGCAAGGAATATAACAAAAAAAAAAAGCTACAATGCAGCTTAGCTGTCACTTGAAGCAAGGACTGGACTGCAGCTCTCACGTGATCAAGGTATTTAGCAAACCTGCTTTTTTCCCTGTAGACTACCTTTAAACTTCTGCTTTACCTTCAGCACTCCAGGTAGGCTTCTCCAGCTAAAGATGAGAAAGTCATTCTTTTCATTTCACATAAATAGTACAAGTGGGTTGCATTTTTTCTAAAAAAAATGTGCTGCTTAAATTAATAAATAGTCATTAAGTTATGAAAAGTTGTATAATCTGTATCACTGAAAATTCTGCTTAAGAAATTTGTTCTTATAATGTTATAAAAGTACATCAATTCCATGAGAGACTTACAGTGAAATTTCTGTTTTTGTTTAGTGTACTGGATTGGAAGGTGAATAGCTAACACTTAGTTTCTTGATATTCAATGTCCATAAGTGATGGTACATTTCTATTGTGTTACAAGTGATACTGGGTGTGAATAAACAGGTAGACAAAGAAGGGTGGGAAGTTAGCAGGGAGTTATTACTTGCAGTTAAAGAGCTGCAAGTGATCCATTAGAGATCAGAGAAGCAGTAAATTTTTTTTAAGTGAAACTAACAGTTATATAGTCTTCATAAGTCATTATGATACTGTTCTATGTATCCGACCTACCTTACTGATGCTAGAGTCTCACTGGGAAATTGTTCTGGAATCTGAACATGTAGTTCTAACTTTATCTGTGAGGCAAAAGAAAGTACAATGCTAATTACCACTGATTTGAATTTTTGGTTTGGAAAGCAACTTCTAGGATATACTGCTATTGGAGCACCACATAACTTTAAAAAGATTATATGCATATATGCAATTCTTTCGATTGAAGTGTTCTAATAGGTATCAAATCAGCTTCTTCTAGCCAGTAGATCTTCCCCAGTCCCAAGAACAATGCAGGATGCAGGCACTTAATAAGATGATAAAGCTGCCTCAGGGAACCAACAAATAGGGTTTTAAGTTAACTTAAAAATGCACGACTACAGGAAAACACCTAAAACTGATGCCACACAGGTAAGCCAGCTTCTTTTGTTAATGTATAAAGCTAGCACTATGAACCAACTGTTTGTGGCCAAAAATCTGCCATGTTACTAGATTTAGGCACTTACTGGCCAGTTAAACCTTTCTCCTTTTTTTTTTCCCTATGTGAAAAGGATGAATTTATGTTCTTTATTAGTACTTTACACAGTTTATTGTTCAGAGGCAGCAGAAGCCTGAAGTGCAAGTAAGAGTTCCCTGGCTGGAAAGCTTCCACTTCACGTTCAAAACTTGGTTGAAACTCAAAGGATTTTAATAAGATGGAGGTAATACTTTAAACATTTGGGTTTTGGCAGTAGTACTGAACTTCAAGGACTACAAATTTTTTTCAGAAGCAGAATTCTCATATGGTAAGAACAGCAGACACTCCCACAAGAGCGAGTAGCCAAGCCAGTGCTCAACTATTAGACACTTTAAATTCCTCAAAGCTACAGTATTTAAAATTGTATGAACTTACCTGCTGAACAGCTGGAGGTTCAAACTACTGCTGCCTGCTCCAGAGTGTTTCTCCCAAAAGCAAGAAGAACCAACTCATGATCAATAAATCAGAATCTAATTCCCACTCTTCCTGGAACAGGTGAGTAACGTGCCATCCCTGATGGTGCACGTACTGTTTGTTAGAGTCAGACCATGTACATCACCAACAACTGCATGCAGCTAACCAGTGCTGATTGTATTCCATGTTTCAATGAGGTTGCACTTGAATATGCTTCCCAAGCATCTGCATTGTACAGCCCAGTCCTGCTCCATATTCAAGTGTTAGGCAGCCATTTAATATTGCATACTTATTCTGAGTTTTGCAGTGTGAAAGTAAGAATTGAAAATTAGTTAGGATAAATATTTATTTTCACATAACATTTCTTAATTGTGAAAAACACAATAGTCTATTCACATGTACACATAAACTCTTGTAATAAATTACATCCAAGAATTTAAGTAATTTTGAGCAAGAATATGAAATTAGAAGTAAATATAGCACTACATTTTCTTTATATTGTGTGTGATTCAGAATGTTGAGTTTAACATCAGAATAGCATTTAAATTCACACAAGAATAGAGTGACTGTTTAAAAAAAATAAAACACTTTGGAATACTGAACAAAAATACAGAATGCCATCGAATACACTGATTTCTTAATATTCTAAGAGTTGGTCAAGTGAAACTAATACATTTTGATTGTATATATTATTTGTAACAAAGTCAGCAACATATTAAAACACCACCAGGCTGCTTTCAGGACAAACCAGTTTTGAACTTCTATACTAACCTTAAAACAATTGAAATCTTACAATTTATCATCGAGTACACAAAACAAAGCATTTAACCTTAATGTATAGGCTTTTTTTTTTCCTAAATTCATAAACACAAGCATTTAATAAAATGTAAATCCTCCTTTGTGTCCATTACCTGTTTTTCCCCCATAAAAATGGCCTTGAAGTGGGCTTTGATAATGCTAGGAAAAACTTAGAACAGTAACCCTAATATGGTTTGCAGCAAAATGCAGTTGTTTATGGCTGAAGTAGTAGAAAGTAAACACACACACACACACACACACACACACACACAAACGTTAGAAGGAATACTTTAAATGTACTGGATATGAAAACTTATTCACATGAGAACTATGGGAAGGTTACCATGTCTTGGAAAGCTAGGGAATGTTAAAGCCCTGTCACTGAGTTGCTATAATAATCACAACAGTGTGAATTCTCATTCTTAGGATTCAAAGCAGTAGTGACAGTTAGTCTTCATTTAATCATTTAAAAATTTACCTAAAAAAAATTTAAAAATTACTAAATTGCAAATAATCCATAAAACTTTTGTTCCACATTGTCTATTAATTCAGTACCTAATCTCACAGTCCTTGTTTTACACAAAAGAACAGCCTGAAGGATAAGGTAGTAAGAAAACTGGTTATGAAAAATGTGTTTGCAAAGGGCTTTAAAGCCACATTTTACTCTGCAATGCAGTTTTAAATCTTTTTATCAATATGTACTTTATGGAATAGTTAAAATGGCTGTAACAAAACCAATAGAAGCATACCTATTTAAGTACATGAAATCTCTGGAATTAGAGTTCTACATTTGTTAGTAGAGACAAAACAATAGAAACATCAACTTAAGTGGATGCATTTTAGGAAAGAAGAGGAAAATCATCAGGCAGGTATTGCAACTGCATGGGGTTATAGTTTGCATGTATAAAATTTTCCCTATTGTAAAAATAATGAATTCAGTAATGATGTAATGCAGTTATCTGGCCTACCACAGTGACATTCGTACAATACAAGATACTGTAATCACAGATTGCTTTTTTACAAATACTGTACTGATGTTTCACATCAAAGGATGTGGTGGTATTTTTCAACTAAGATGATGAAATGTTTATAATAGATATTTTTTATATATATAATTTATATTACTATGTTCCAGTTACATACAAATTTGAATATTAAATACACTGTATTAAATCAACAAAAACTGCACAAATACAGAATCTGACCCTGCAATCTCCATTGCAAGAGTAATCCATGACTTCAAAATGACAATTTGAGGAGAAAAGGATTATACTTGTGAGTTTGTTCACAGGGTCAGATCAGTTCTCACTTTAAAAACAACTTTTATCTCAACTAGTCAAGTTGGGTCTCCTACTTCCTCCAGTAAAATGATTTTTTAAAAAATTGGAACAACTGTTTCAAGTTCACCGTGAGTGAAGATTAAGTTTTCTCACACAGGAAAAGTAGCAAAATACAGTACAAACCTATTAACAGGTAAGTTGAATTTGAAAGAAACTTTGCATGTTAAATTTATGATATGAATTCTGATAAATGGCCAACATCAGCAAAGGAAATGAAGATTTTTGGCATTGGCTACTGCAGACTTTTGCACAGATAGCAGACAGTGTAGACATTTAGACAAAGGGTAATGAGACAAACATTGCACTACATTACCTGTGCTAGTTTGAGATGAAAGACAAAAGTTACAAGATCAAATCAGTTATAGCTAGTGGCTGTGGCACTCCTTTCATTCTTTTGTAAAAAAAAATAATTTTAGAACAAGTCATAGACAAGTCTCTCGGTCGACTCCTTTCCCTGAGTCAGCTTTCTTCTCTTGTCTGATTTCAGCACTAGAAAAAGAGGGGAAAAAAAAAAATGTTGCAGCCGCACTATCATACATATATATACAGATCTGAAAATCAATACTGTACTGACATTATAATTAATTTTACATGCTGCATAACACAAACTGGGAAGCAAGTCAAAGCTGCTGTGTTGAATGGTGCAGAAGACATCAGCCAGCAGTTTAGTGACGAGGTGAGTGGAGAACTTAAAATGTACAGAAAGACAAGTCAGCCAGCATGCAAGCAGGTAGGCACTTTTTTTTGGCAAATACAACTGTTAAATAGTGATAACATACAGTTCCCAGGCAATACCAGCATTTTCTTAAATGGCACAAACAAGAGGCTACAGTAAGTATTTCTTTAACACGTATTCTGTTGCTTATGCATTTGGAAGGAACATTTCATAAGTAAAGCAATGCAAGCCAATTTATAGCTGTAGTATTTGATTTTCAGTCTTCCCCAGGGCAAGCAGGAGATGGGAGTGGCAGAGGAGCAGGGAGATGACAATATTCCCTGCTTGGATCTCAGTTTAGTGTATACTTGCTCACATACACATATAAGAAATAATGTTTTTGCTTGTCATTTGATTTTTTTTTTTAATCAGCCTAAAAGTTAGATCACATAAAAGTAGAGTTCAAATTCAGATTCAGGGTTTTTTTTTCCCCCAATTAAAACACTGTTGATTTGCCTACAAAAAGAAATTTATGTGCAAAGCAGATGATATTCTTTTTTGTGAAGAGGATCCTATTTTACAACAGCATAAATATGTAAATTTAGAAAGTCCAGTTGTTACAGTGAGTTTTAGTCACGCTACAAGAATGCAAGAATACAAGAAATGCCACAACACAGGCAAATCAAGCCTTCAACAAAGAGGGGCAGGGTATCTAAACAGATGTTTCTGAGAACAAACCTCTGACAAGCACAACCTACCAGTTTTCATGGGAATAATTCCTTAACTAGAATGAATGAGAAATAGGCTGAGTTAAACAAGGCCTAAAAGAAAGCAAGATCAATTCTCAAATTCTTAAGGTGACCATGAACAATTTTACAATCATCTGACATTTTTCTTCATGTTAAAATTGCTTTAAGGAAACAATTCTATTCAGCCAAAGCATACTTCTATGCCTATGGCTGCTTCTAGAGGTGTTAATGGAAATAACTGAAGAATACCAACTTCTGCCACTTCAACTGCCAAATCTGTCACCTTCTGTAGAACAGTGATAAAACTGGGTATGCACACACTTCCTGTACACAGAGGACACGCAAACAAATTCTTGGGGGATTAATTTAAAATGTACAGCTGGCAGTTACCTATGTTTAGTAAAAGCAAACACTGAGGATATACTGTGTGCTTTAAGGCCTATATTATTTCCAGGCTTTAGCTGCCTCTGATACCAGGAAAATCTTCCTTTTATTTAGGATTTGCATCTCCCGCAGATGTGGGTTAGGACAGCTAAAACTGTGGTCAGATCTTCCCCATATGTTTGGAAATTGCTGCCTGACAGATTTAATATTATAGGCAAAGATAGAAAATAGAATTGAACACCAGGACACCAATCAGGACAGGCTATACTCAAAAGCTGACCTTCAGATGCCTAGACGCTTTAATAACAAAAAATTAAGGTATCAAGGTAGAACTCAGTTGTTTGCATGGTTAGATGGCTTCTAAGTAAATCTCAAGCAAGTAACCTCTTCAGATATTTAATACCATTGTGAATCTGTGATGTTAGAATTGTCACATACTCCTTTGTCTCCCCATTGCTTCAAAGAGCTAGGGGCAGGACAGGTCTTACAACAGATACAGATCAGGCTGAGTTGTTTGTGCAACCTCTTCCTGCCTAAAATCTCTCTCTGAGATCACTGTAATTTATTATGGACCGGCCTGTCATGACCAAGTCAACTCAGTATTTAATTAGCAGGAAGTACTTTCAGATTTTATATATTTTGAAAAGAGTTCTACATTGTTAATTGATCAGTCCCCAATTTAGAAGGCATTACATGAAATCATAGTACACTATCATAATTTAATTATCTCTATTAAATTTTAATGATGCCTTTAAAGTTCAACTACAGCAGTACATAGTAGTCCTTTTCCTACTGTCACATATACTTTCTTATACCAGTACCTAAAAATACCATTAATTACAAAACAATGCTTTCCCACCCACCTCCCTATGGTAAGACACCCCTCAGTGAAGGGAAATCCTTGGTACTTGATCATTTACAAAAATTATGACTGCTACCATCCTAAGCTTTCATTTTTTCCTCAGTGCTTACCTAGGATAAAGTTATTCTCAATGTAATTACATGTGCATTCAGGATTTTAATGTTTTTTTTAGTTGTCTCTAATATAAAATCAATATTGTCTGTTATCACAAGCAAGCTCTCCAGATTCACAGTTCTTAGAATCTACTTTCATCTGAGAATCTGAGACAAGCTAGAGCACATGAAAAAAAGATTTCAGATTCTTCACTAGGTTATTCATTTGCAACAGGACATTCACATCTGAAACCCAACAGTGATCCCTCAGTTCCTTTTCACTTGAGTCCTTGGTTTTGTGAGCGAAGATACAGGAACAGAATAAAAATCTAGGTTGAGCCAAAGCAGCTTTCGAGAAAATAAACTGCTATTTTGCTGCAGTGTAAAAGCAAAACCATCTTTTACCAATGTTGTCTGAGCCACAGTCTACGTAGATTGCTCTTTGCTCAGAGGATCTTTGAAAATGATCTTAGGTAAAGAATTACAGGTCTACATAATTTATCATAGCATCAGAGAAGGTAACATCTACAAGAAAAATTGCAACTCCTGAATACCCACTGGCAGTGAATGTACCCATCTCAGTTTCTTCTCTTTCTCCAGACTTGCACTGCCTGGGCAGCAGAGGTAAGAAAATCATATTGCACATCCTTCTCCTGTGCACCACACCAATACCACTGTGACAGGACTGTTTTTAGCCCACATGTAAGCCAGAGGACAAAGCAGAACTATATCACTATTCTGTCTGTCAGTAAAATAGCATTAAAATTAATGCGCTGATCCATGGGTGTTTGAAACGGAGATTCTGCAGTCATCAACTGTTCATCTTGTTTATGCTGTTTAGGGAAAGGAATAACACTGAAAGGCAGCATGCCATTTTGGGGTGACAAAATTAAAAAGCAGTATTTTAGTACAAATTGTTTTCCCTTATGCATCTCTTCACCATAAAACGATGACTAGATATTTCAAACTTAGAACTTGTTTTGAGTATGAGACTTAGAAATGGGCAGAATATCACTTCGCATTTAAAAAAAAGACAAAGCTACTGACAAAAAATTCAATTCAGCATTTAAATATATCTACAGTTTCTACTTTCAATATAATAAAATTCAAATTTTATAATGTTAAAGGGATTTGAAGAAAACATTTGCACATTCCTATTTCAAATTTCTTTTTATTCTGTCTCCCCAAAAATTACACAAAGTCAAGTCACTTGGGTTCCTAGACAACACCACTTTGAATTGGAAGATACAACCAAGGAAAAGTTTGGGGGTTGGGGTCTTACCTTTGGGGAATCAGCTTCTAGATTGATTAGGAAGGGGAGCTTATGACAGAAATGTGATATGAAACAATTAAGTAGAAAATACTGTTACATTTTAAATTTATAGAATTGGAAAATCTTATTTACAATAGCACTGTGCTTATACTTCCTTATTCCCGTTATACTTTTCTAGCTCAGACAAAATATCATTGGTTCATTTTACGTTTTCTGTGGATTAAGTTTAAAGATATTTAACTATTTTGAGTACAACTGAAGTAGGCATGAAAAAAGTAACCAAAAAAGTGACCAGAAGTGATGCAATCTTTAAATTTTTCACTCCAATATTAGTAGACCACATCAAAATACTGGGCTCTTCATATAGCTATTTCCAGGGTAGTGATGACCACTTCTTTTTCAAGAAGGGAGAACAAAAGCAAGCAGAACAAACACAACAGCTGTTGTGCAATATCCAGGTGTAGGCTGGTGGTTCATTACACAAACATCAAGCATGCTCAACTTCATTTTCCACTGTAGCATAATTAACTTGCATGCAAATATTTGTGTCGTGGGGTTTTTTGTTTGTTTGTTTGTTTTTTACAATAAATATACGTAGTGAATCTGTGTTTTGACCTTAGGATACTTGACAGAATACGGACAAGCATATTCTTGGACAGAAGCAAAAGGAAACCTCAAGAACTAAAACTGCAAGATGCTAGAAATCTTTCTAATCCCTAGCAAAATGTTCTAATATTGGTTTGAATCTATAAAGCATAACATAGTAGGAAAAAAAAAAATTAAAACCTTTTAGAAGGAAAGCTTGACTCCTTATCTTTTGCATTCTCCGAGGATATCAACAGTGTCTTCCACACAGCAGTTTTTGCCATCTCATCAGAAATGTTTATCACAGATGGATCATCTCTAGGCAAGAATAAAAGTAAATACACAATAAAGCAATCAACAATCATTCTTTGTTAATTATTAACTATACAAAAGCCCTTGGAAGCTGATAGTGGTGACAATAAACAAGCAATACAATTTAAGACAAATCTTGGCACATTTTTAGAATGTTCTTCATCCAACTGCAATTAGTTACACAATATATTTTATTGATGTTAATATGATTAACAACTAATAGAAAATTTTTAAATTTAAAACTTTAGAATAGTCCAATTGGCTACTAATTTCAGGCTAAATAAAAGTTAAAAATATTCTTAAGTACATTATGATATTGATTATTCATCAGATGTTCTTTGAACACTGATAGGCATGGGCCACCAACACCCTCTCCAGGAAGCCTGTTCTGTGAAATCAAATATATGCCCAAGATCTCACAGTTTGCCAGTGGCATAGCTGGATTTAACCAGAACTGTAAGAGTTCCAAACAGTTATCAAGGTACTTATGTTTTCAAAGCAGCTGTGTTTCCAAACAATTTAAAAGCTATCAAAACCATGAAAAAGTCAAAGATTTAAGTGATCTAAAAAAATGCCCTGATAAAACAAGACAATCAGTAGCTTTAAGCAGCAATGCGTAGCCCTTAGCTGCTCTGAATGTGTATTGATACACTTAAGAGTAATAATCCTTAAAGAGTCTGTCTGTACATTATTCCCAACTCTATGGCTAATACATGGTTTGACACTAAGATCTCAGTAAACTTGTTTTCACATTGTTTAGAGGAACCCCTTTATCAACCAACATATTGATCCTTCTTTTCAGCTGTAGGCCTGAGACCCTTGCAGTACAGAACTCAACAAATTATTCAGGCAACTTTAACTAAGCAAACATGCTATAAATTGAGATCACACCTCAAGATAAATTACATATTGATAATATAAGATAGAACAAAAACGTGTAGAAAAAAGAAAACGAACATTAGAAATGTGATTAATCAAAAATAAGAAACAGTCTAGGATTTTTCAGATACACAGACAGTAAAACATTACATCTATTGCCTTAGAATATGAAAAGATAATATTAAAATATAAGAGATGGCCATTCTGGGACAGTGTTCTATGAATTTGCAGTAATGCAGAAATTCCTATCAGCAGATATTTCCAATTTTCATTATGAACTTTCTGAAAACTGTAAATGAGAATAAGGTCTTATTGGGCTGGTCAAGTATGTTATTGATGACAAAACAGAACTTTTCATATGAAAATGTTCCATCATTCCATTGTGCCTCACCTGCTCCAGACAACTCTTAATTTACTTAATATATCACACAGCTAGAATCTTAATTTGAATGTTACAAAACATGATACTGTAAAGAACCTAGGGTTTTTTTTTTTAGTATGGTCAAGGCTGTTCCTGGCTCCCAGCAATCATGAGTGAAGGATTTGTCTTTTCTACACCTTCCTTTCACACTGTGTATGTCAGAAGCCAAAGTTACTTCTGAATAGCCAAATCCTGCTATCTTGCCCAAGGGCAAATGAAGTCCTCTTCTTAAGGACTGTGATATGGAAATACTAGAAAGGGGTACAGCTTGTTAAACACTGCGTTATACGGTTCAGTGCACAGGGCTTACTCTACTATCAGACGTGCATTCTCCTAACGTTCAATGAACATTAAGAATAAATATGGTGGCATGTTTATTTTTATTTAATTGCAACTCACCTAAAAGAGGAAATGTATATTTTACCTGTAATGTCCTTCTAGTGGCAACTGAACAGTCCCTTCCTCTTCCATCGCTAACATACTTTGCTCTTCCTAGGAAGAAGGAACTTAAATGTGAGACAGGATATATTGTTGTGAAAAGTTAATTATAAGCATCTTATCCCTTAATATTAACTTTTTGTTAATGATTCATAAAATAAGATTCTCAACTCTTAATTTGAATATTCAAGATTGACACGCCTCTGTTTCAAAGCAATATCTCCAATTAATGTTACTTATCAATACCAAATAGAGGAGACGCTTTTTAATAAAGACAACTTTGTAATGAGATGGTTAATTTTAAACATCACACTTAACTAGACACACACATAGCATCGTTAACACACAAAAATTAGGGCAGTCAAATTTAAGTTTGTGCACACAGTTTAAATACTGATTAAAGTTTTATTGCAATGAAAGGTAGTGCAACAAGATGCCAATATTAGTTTTCACCTAAATAGGGAAAATAAATTTTTATGATTCTATGAGAACTAGATGTACCTACAACAAATCTATTGTCAAATAATTACAACTTTAGGAAATCTTCATCTAAGGAGGAGGGGAGAACAAAACAGCCCGCCTTAATTACTGTCTCCTGCCCGAGACAAAGAAAAACCAGCCTGTCTTTCAGACCATAACAGCTCATGGCTCCACAGGTATGAGCTGAAGGATGATTCTGAAGACTCCCCACCACTGTTAGGTCAGGAAAACCGAGCAGTCATCACAAGATATTAGCTATAAAGCAAAACCTCTGAAATAAGGGTGTCTTAAGGCCTAAATTACTGGCAATCGTGTAAGCAGGTGATTCTGTATGCTTCCCCACGAACCCACATAGCTCTTGTAATCAAGCAAATTATGAAAGTATAGTTTTCATATGTAGCAAAACAGCTGCCAGGAAGTTAACATGCCTTCATGTGGAATAACTACCAGATCCTGCCCTATACTGTTGCACTGTTGTGTGTGTGAGCATGGCAGTCACACAAGAACTGCCTGTTCTTTTTTCCCTTTATTAGATGGCTTGGTAACAATTTACCCTGGTGTTTAGTGAAAAGTGTGACTTAAAGTGACATTGGCTTTCCCAAGAAGAGAAGCATGTCATTCCCTGGCCAGCCACCCAAAACCTGACAAATCTCACACACATTAGTAAACTGGCATCAGCTGGAAGTATCAAGGTGATTTTCCCGTTTCCTCCATGTTTTACTACTACAGCTATTTTAAAAGTTGTGATTCTTTTTTCCTCCAAATGGGAGAAGTCACTTTTGTTCATTCTGGTCTCAAAAAGACTTGATTACATCAAATTGCTGACAAAGGAAGATTTGTGAGATGGAGGCAAAAAAAAATATCCACTATAAACATAGAAAGCCTTGGAAAAACACGGCCTAAAAATATAAAAACAACTTAAGTGATGAAGTTAGGATCCAATGAAGTACCAGATCTTGTCAACTATATTTCTGAATATTCTTGTGGGTAGAATACTTCTATTTTTAAAAGCCGTGTGATAGCAACTCTCCAATTAATTCCTTAGGCTACATGTCAGAAGTTTTATTACTAGTTAATTTTGTCATTTCCAGGCTTCACAGCTTCATAAGTTTTTGACAGTTGAACAGTTTTAATAATAGCTTCAAATATTTAGAAATGCCAAAATATGTAAAAATAGCCTCTCGAAACAGACAGTGAATGAAATAAAGTAACACCAATAGATTTTCCCAGTTTTGTTTTACGATGCCATCTTACCAAGTATGAGAAGGAAAATGACATATAACCAAAACATAAGAGTAACAAATTTTTCCAATAACCAGACCCAAAAGAAGAGAGATACCTTAGTTACTTTTGGTTACTGTGAATTGTTATGAAAGCTAAATACTGTGATGAAAAAACAGTTTTTTTTTTTAATTATTATTTATATAGTTCAAAGGGGAAAAAGAAAATGTGCATTTGAACTTCATCCTAGTATCTTTGCAGGCATGTACTAAATAGTAAATAGTAACCATGGCATGTATTACCCAGGTAGAACTTTTTCCCCAAATGAATTCTGTTAAAGTACATTACATGCATCAAAGAAACCAAAGTTACATTCTCCAAATTACAGTTGAGGCAGTGAGTTGTCAAGGGTCACAAAAGAATGCAAAAGGGAGAAAAAATTAGTCCTCATGACAGTGTTCAACTTATTAGCTCATGTCCTATTTCTGTAAACTAACTTAGCAAGGGGAATCCTTACACATACATTTTCACTGGTCTCAGATACCTCATGGCTTTCCTGAAGATAAATTGCTGATTTATCCATTCACATTATCTAGTTCTTGCAGTACACTTGTACCACCAAAATTTCAGGCCTCATGGGTCCCAGGCCTTTGCAGAGGTCTTCAAGGTAACTTAGAAATTGTGTGCAAAAAAGTACCCAGAGCAATGAAATTACCACAGCCTTCCAAGACAACATTAGAACAGCCTAGACCTTTGCCTCCTCATGCTACAACCACCTTACATCATACTGGGGCACGACACACAACTGACATTTAAAAGAACCAGGCACTGACAAATTCCTACAACCACTCCCATGGTTACTGCTTCTCCATCAAGACCTGTCCTTCATTTATTTGGACCTATGACTTAGGAGCACAATCCTAATGCCCCCTAACAGCTGGCATCAATCAGGTAGATATGAATACTGTCAACAAAGGAGAAAGCTTCCCCTACACAGGAAGTGACTTTATATTCCCTCAGCTTTACACGATATTCAAACAAGCAACTCAAGAAGCACATTCTAGGGGAAAATGATATCAGATGCAAAACTGATTAGAAAACTGAAGTCAGAAGTCTGAAGATTTGATTAATAGGGTAAGCAAAGTCACCGATGTTTTTTTCCACTAGAAAGTGGAAGTAAATGGTTTCTGCAGTGGCAGAAGGGAAATGCTCATCCAAAGTATAGCAAATCTACTTGTTGCATTGAATATGTCTTCATTACAGAATTTTTCTCCAATTGTCTAAAGGAGATACTGGTAACATGTCACAAAAAAACCAAAAACCTAACCAAACAAACAGAAAACAACCATAGAACCAATGAAACCACCATCCCAAAACAAAAAGAACACACATCTGAAACCAGGACCCACCTCTTTCTCAGCATCTTCTAGTTTCTTTTTCTTGCTCTCAGGCATCAAATCATCTAACCAACTGAGCTCCCGTTTAGTGAAAAAAAAATCCATGAGTTTTCGGACAAATACCAAAGCTAAGACCTGTAATGATATTTATTCAAAGAATTAGGAAATTAAACAAACAAAACTGACAGTTATACTTCCAAAAGTCACCACAGTTTTCAGCTGGAATGTTATTGTTCATACTGGACAGGCCAACACCTGGACTTCCTTTATTTGGAATTAGTGCGAATTGAAGCATTTCACAATGATGGAAGTTCAGTAGCTATCTTTTATTTCACACTGGTGAAATAGTCAAGAAAACATCAGTTAACCAGCTGGACAGATTTTTATTTCCAGCAAGGCATAGAAACAAAGTTCCTCTATGCAATAAACAGTCTTCCTTAATAAGTAACCGTTCTTTTGTAAAACAGGTACAATTAAGCACTACTCCTTAAACAAAAGCATCAGATCGATTTTTAAAATTTAAACGAATTTTCTTTAAGGAAATATAGTAGGGCCATCCACAGCTATAAACTAAGTGCAACCTAGACTCAAATTTGAGTTCATATACGTAACTTTATTTACATAACAAACTGACCTTGCACACTGAATCAAAGCAATATTGTAATTACCCATCCGCAACTAAATTTTTTTTTCAATAATGATTACCCAAAACTAAAAAGAAAATGAGGTTTTAGGGGAAATAGAAAATATTCCATACCATCATGGGAAAGACAATAGCAGCTCTTGAAACCTTTATAATCCACAGGAGTACAAGACAACTCAGCTGAATTACGGTGAAGAGATGGACTTTTCTAAGAGGAACATGCCTTAGATAAATAAAATCTGGCTGATGCTTTGCAGGCATCCAGAATAATTTTATCCTGTCAAAAAGCTGAAAGAGATGTTTTTAAAAATTTGCATCAAAACATGCTGATATTTACAGACTACATAAGATAGCATGGCTATCCTAAGAATCGTGTTTGTTATTATAAACATAAAAACTGCAGAAGTTCAAGTAGTTCAAGCACAGAAAGAAAAACTACCACAGTTACAATCATAAGTGATGAATCTATGTGAGTCCAACAGTGGACATGCAGTGAAATAAGCACCTAACAAAAATATGGAGCACAGTGCCTATAGGAAACACCCTAGTTAGAGAGAATCCATTCTCCTTTTTAAGTGAGTTATTTCAAGAATTTAAGGCTGGCAACATTCCTTTAAGATCATATTAAAAAGAATAAAATAATCAAATAAATTTAGCTCCACATTTAATAGTATGTAATACATACTTCTTGAATGCATTTTACCTGAATTCCCTTTAGAGATGAAGCACCCATGTAAAGGAATACTCCATAAAGTACAGGCATAGGGATAAACTGCACAAAAAAAAAAAAAAAAAAACAAGCAGAGAAAGGGAAGAACACATTAAATAGAATTTTAAAATATTAAATGCTAAGCAGTTGAAATTCAATGTGCCATATGCCTGCATTAATCAGACAGGTTGTAAACTCAGATTCCCTCAATTACAAATTAATAATGATACTCATAGTACAAAGCAAAAGACGAATCTGGCTCTGCAGTTTTATTTTCCTTTCATGGCCAAAACTGAGGCCAACATACTTTATTCACTATTAATAAAATTAACAGAACTGCAAGAAAAATGTGTGTGTTAGATTCATACTTAAATATTTTATTTAAAGGACTGCTCAAGAGGGTCTGAATAGTAGAATTATAATCCTCAAAAATGATACACACAAAATATTTCATAAGTAGTCAATGGAAAATTTCTGTACTGTAAGCATTTAAAAATGGTGGATGACTTCCGTGGAATGGCATGGAAAAGAGCACGTAAAATATTCAGACACTCTGTATGAAGTGCATAGGTTACAAAATATTTCCTTAGATAAGTGTCTTTTTTATATACATAATGCATAAAACTTGTCTAGTTTGCTTTCACTAATTATTACATACATTATGATGTATGTAACAAAATACTGCACAAGTTCTAAAGGCTTCCTCCCTTCACTGTGACAGTGTGCAAGTCTAAATTCTGATTTTACTGAAGACAATGGCAGTACTTACTGATTTCTCTGTGATCTGAAAATTCTTAAAAATATTATGTATATAGATATTATATAAGCATGTGACTAGATATCCAGTTTCAGGACACTGGTGAGCAGCAAAGGGCATGCTGACAGCATGAGATAATTTTTCAGTTCATGCCAAGTAATTAACCACAAAAAGTCTACTGCAACTGTGGAAATATTTTTTAAATTAGCTAGTAATCACAACATGCTTTAAAATTATTTGAAGACATTTACTTAATGATACAGCTCAGCCAGGCTGGCTCATGATAATATTTGCCTTGAGCCCAAAGTACAGAGAAAAGATAGATCTTAATACGTTACAGGTCAATGGTAGAATTTATTTTGACTTCAGTAAGACCAGACTTTTATTACAGGGCTTCACTACACAAAAGTTACGTGTCCCAAGCTGTTTTATTATGCAAAATTAGAATTCCACTTTAGATTATCATTGTGAAACATGATAGTAACATGCCTTTACTTAAAAGACATTAAGTAATATAGTAACAACAGTGAAATGTTCTGCGCAGTGCATTATTATTTAGCATTTCCTTATTTCCCCCAAATTACCTTCAGAATACTTGTCAAAAAGACAGATGAGCCCATAAGTACAAAAATCATGAGCCCTGTGACTCTTTGCTCCCGGATTCCAAGAAATTTCGGCTGTTCCCCTGGAGCAGAACACTCTGACTCCAGTTTTAAGCTGTTCACATGAGAAATAGAGAGAACAGTGGCTGCAACAAACCACGGCAACCCCATAATGGAACACACTCCAAGCATGACTGCCACCATGAGTAAGTCGAGATGGTATCCACACCCTTTCTGTTTAAGAGGAAGAAGAAAAAAAAAAAAAAGATATAAAATGACACCTGCATTAAGGAGAACACTCCTGGAAGGCATTCCTAATGAACAGCTAGAAATGATTTAAAATTCTGTGACTTATAGCAAAAAATCACCTTCTTCTAAGTGGTATCCAGGCTGGGGCAGTAGTGGAGGTAAACCGGTTATCTAAGGGGATTTCCTGAGTTCCTGCTTTTTTTGTTTGTTAGTCACATTCCTGTTATCAGTAAGTGTATGTATCATGAGTCCAAAACAATTCTGTGCCCCAATAATAAGCAGCAATTTATCTCATTTATAAATGAGATAATAGCAAGAAAATGAAAGATACAGACATTTTTCCAGTTTAACTACATTTCATCTCTTAATAACATTGGATGCTAGTGTGCAGACTATCCAACTGCACAGCCAACTTTCCTTGCAAATTTGAAAATTGCTGTTGATCTGCATCAAACTTGGTCATACAAATGTTTGTTACATAGCTGGAAAGAACATTTATATTCTGATTTAATAAAGCTCCTGAAATGCCATTTAGCTGCAAGCTATTTTTCCTTTCAAAAGTCAGGTAATGTTTTATCTCCACAAAATTCTGCAATATGGCATCAAATCCAATGTCGTGGTCTGATGAAGCAGCGACGTTCATGCAAACAATAATATGTTGAACCAAACTTTGCCTGCAAACCCATGCAAATGCCTTTTGACATAAAAAAAAGTAACTAAACTAAACTTGGAAAGGTTTGCTACAGAGACTGCCAAAAACTGAAATGCAGAATTTGCTATGGGAAGTATATAAAAAGAGGGGGGAAACGAGCTGGAAGCAAACAAGTCATTTCTTTCTGAAGACAACTTTTTTTTTTTTTTTTTCTAAAATGGGAAGTGTCTGGGTTTATGAAAATGTAAGTAACATGAAAATGCCATCTTATTTACTTACATTATTTGAAAAGGGGAATTCATATAAAATAAAGAAAATTTTAAAAATGTAACTCCAGCCACCTTCCCTGACTCCTCCAAAGCACTTAAGTCTTATTTCAAAGACATATCTTAAACTCAGAGCTGCATCAAACAAAGGTATTAGTTACATGCACAACGCACTCAAAGAGCTTAATTCTAAATCCTAAGAGAGACACCTTTTTTTACCTTCTGACACATTTATAAGGAATGTATCTGCTAATGCATACAGAATCTGAGAGCATTTCCTCACATTCATACATGATCTGAGGAACCTGACATATGGGAAGAAAAGGAAGCATAGCAACAGGTGATGGTACACCAGACCCCAGCAAAACTAAAACGCAGCAAGACAAGGGGGCAGCCAGGAGGACCATCTGACTCCCAGATGCCAGTGCTGAAAAAACACATTCCAAAGCTTGGCAGCAAATTCCTGCATCTGTCAAGTTAACCACATGCAATGCTATGGATTGACATGAAGAGCCAGGCTGACAAAGAGGGCAAAAAAAGAACATATCAAATGTCACAATCATCCAAGAAGAGGCAGTGCAGAGTGAAGGTTGCAAATGCATTTGCTAAAGCAACTTGGGATTGGATTCCTGCTTATTAAAACTATGTCAAAAAAAAGCCTAAGCTTGCTGCATATACATGTACAGAAACCTGCTGCTAGATTTTGCCCAACAGTTTTTCAGAGGGGTGATGTCCCTTTTTCTCTCTCCATCTGTAGGCAACTAAAGTGTTAGAGAACTGAGCAAGAAGTTATCCTATGTTTGAAGAACCCATTGTGCCTCTAAAGTTCAGTTTTATTCTCTTTTATTTAAAAGGAAGAGCAAACAAACAACAAAAAAATCCCATATTACAGAATGCCCCCAGTCTTTCAAAAACCCGTTCTGCAGAACACCACTATCAATATCTGAAGAGGCAACTAATGTGCTTAAGGAAATGATTAACTTCCTGATTTTTCTCTTGAGATGAGCTGGTATCATACTACAAATAAAGCACTGAAGATAACACTTTCTTGATTCAGAACCTCTGTTCCAAATCACACCAGTAAAGACTTTTCTAAGGTCAAAGACAGAGGACATAGGTACCACATGGACAAATAGGAAAAAAGTATAACAATATAAAGGAGAGCTATATAAAATAAATGAGCATCCTTGAGTAGATGAAGTTATATGATTGAAAATGACAATGAAAAGAATTTGATGGAATACCTTTAGTTTATGCTCTTTTCTATTTATAATGACAGCTGTAATCTGCTGGTCCATAAAAATAAGGATAGTACAAAGCAGGGCTGGAATTACAGCAGCTATCACTGTCCACCAAGGATTAGGCCCCAGAGGAGTAATAAACCATCCACGATCATCTCTGGTGGGCTACAAAAAGAAAACCATGCATGGCCAGTCAGAACTCTAAGGACTATGTACACAAGAACACAGAAAAACATTTCTAAAATTCAATTTTCTTTAAAATGAATAAATAATCTCTCTATATAAAACAACAGAAAAACGCTAGACTTCCTATAATATAAAGGTGACAAAGCATATGTAATATAATCATCTGGTATATTGCAGACTCAGGTGTATTTGGAAAGAGAGCCACTAAGTTACACAGGTCATTATTCAGAGCAGTTGTTTAGCACTCAGTGAGCACAACAAATTCACGTACTTCCTGACAATAAAAGCATTATAAAATTACTAGAAAATTACTGTAGTGCACTAATATTTTTTTCAAAATAATCAGGCAGTGCAACTTATCATCAAATTACCTTAAAAGCATTTGGAACTTGAAGTTTTGGTGATGGGATCCCAATGGCATAGTCAATTAAAACCATGGACAAAATAGTGAGAAAGACAGCGAAATCGCTGACAACAGATCGTACCTATCAGGAGAAACAACAATTTTAACCACACCACTTACATGATTTAGAACCTACTAGGACTTATTTCTCTTCAGAGTTCCATTTTTTGCTTACAGATAAAAATATTTATTCTAGTTCAAATTTTTAACAGATGACAGATAATAGTGTCCACTTTACCAGCAATAAACTGAATTTGCAAAACAAATGCAATTCATGCTTGCACGTAACTAACCACAACTTCTGAATTAAACAATGGGACACACCTTTGTTGGGAAGTATCGGCTAGTTTTGAACTGCTTCAGTGTGGATGATAGAGTTACTGTAGAAAAAAATAAGATGACAGACCAGAAAAGGACATCTGGAACATAAGGACCATGGTGACCACAGGCTCGTCCAACAAATTCTCCATGAAGTTTTTTACATTCCTATCAGAGAGAACAAAGTAGTATTGTTCTGAAAAATATCCATGCTTATTCTGGTACTTTCTTTCTAATTCCTTTCCTAAGTTGCAAGTAAACTAGGCTTGTGTTTAGAAATATTAAAATCTAGTATTTCTATCTGATCTCAAAAGTATTTCCAAAAAGCCTCAAACTCTCAAAAGAATCACAATTTTTAGCCACTTTAGATGATAGAGTCACTAAGACATAACATAAATAATTAATATAAAACTAGATTTATTTAAAATAGAACATGTACATATATTTATTTTCTGCCTCAAACACAGATTTGCACTTCCCAATTTGAAAGTTTGGAAGAAAAAAACAAAAACAAGAGAAAGGCCACTCCTGATACATCCACAAGAAATGACTTTTTGTTTTAGCTCTACAGGCCAAGCAATTGATAGAAAAGCTACTTCGAATGTACACTATTAGCTTAAAACGAGACCAATACGTTTAATACCACACGAGGGCAGCACATTCCACAAATTACCTTTTGCTTTAAAAAAGTGATCGGGCAAAACACAGCAAAATCCAAACTCTGTATTAATTTTACTGAATGTAATTTAAGATCAACCATGCAGGTGCAGTAGAAAACATTTCTAGTAATTCTCCAATAGCATCCTTAGCTGCTACACTTCTTCCAAGGAGACAAGCGAAGGAATAGAGAGCAGCTATAAAAATTTCCTTCTCCTTACTCAACCCCTCCACATATTAAGCAAAAAGAAACACAACATCCAGCAACTCCAGACAGCAATACCCTGCCAAATCAGGATCTTTTTGTTCCAAACATACTGGGTCACTGTGGCTTGCCATGTTATGAGAAACTTAGTCTTTGAACAAAGGGCTGACTTGAAAAAAAATCCATAGTTTCTATTTGAAGATTTGAAGGTATTAAGATAAAAGTATATCTATAGTAGGACACTTCAAATAAACATGATGTGGTTTTGATTGATGAAATAGGTTATAGATGTGTTAACACAGGGAGGCTGACCAAATTTTTAAAGATAACTTTTTTATTGCATTTCAACAGGAGAATTGAAGTTTCCTGATGATGCAACAGAAATGAACATATGAAAGTATGAAAAAAAAGAGTATTTCTTTGACAACTATAGAGATTCATGGGTAAAGATGGCCAGTTACACTGATACCCATCTAAACTCAAGTTTTTTGTAATAAGCTTTTGAGAAGTTTTAAAGGGCTTTATATAATGCAGCTGGTCTTTTACATTTATAGTTAAAACAAAATCTGTTATTTTAAATCTCTTCAGCTGCAAATGTACTCTGAAAAACACTGTCAGAGATCTGAGAAAGTGAGAGGAGGAGTCTGCCCCTGCACAGATGCTCTTTGAGTGTGCTGCATTTTTGGGAATATTCATTCTAGTTTGCTGGAATTCCTCAGGCCAGCAGTTCTCAAATTTCTCCCTGCTGTTACCACACCAACAGAGTTGAGGAGCAGCCTTTTCTATTAAGGCATAACAGTCATGGAAGGCAGCTCTTGCTTAACTCATGATAGGAAGACATGAGTTCTTCTGCATTTTTGCCTTAGAAAGAAAAAGTGAGGTGATTGACTGGATTGGGTTTAAGCACTTCATTTGATTATGCTTACAATAAGGTTTTGGTTTTTTTTTTTTGTTATTATTAATTTATTGAGATAGAGAGAACTTTCAGTTCTAACATCTCCTTGGCTTTACAATGAAATGCTACCTTTGTGAGAAAAACTGGTAGCCAGACCTCAATATGACATTTTAATCAAACTGCGAAGTTATTTTAATGAATGATAATCTTTAATAGTAAATCCTTTAAATATAGAAAAAGGTACAATTTGTAGAAATAACGTATCTCTGAGAACATATTGTTTTTAGCTTATTCCTGTCTTTCCACTCAGAGAACTAATTCATATAAAAATGATATATATAACACTCAGGACCTAGATAAGAGAAAAATTTGGCCACTGAACAGAAACATTGCAAAATGGCTCCCCTTCCTCTCCTTCATAGCCTGAACAGCTGGAAGAATGTTTTTGGGGAAGTAAATGCTCCTGAACTCTTTCTACACAAGAGAACTTTGGTTTCGCCATCTGGCAGAATTTAGGACAAACCTGTTATCATTTGACATGTTTAGACTTAATCTCAGTCAAACTCTTGTACTAGCGTGTCAAGGAGTTTCTAAAGCAGGGCACAGAATGAGCATCCTTGCTTTAACGTGTACTACCAAAGACTGCATAATGATCTAGCAAAATGTGTACAAAAAGAGATAATTCTAGAAAGTCTATGTTAACCTCTTTTTAGTTAAGTATATTATACACTTTGAACAAATAGGATCAGAAAAAACAGTACTTTTTCTATTTATATACTGTATTAAGGACAGATGGAATCATTCATGCTTATGCCCTTACTCACTAAGTTCCAGTATTTCACTTACTGTCACAGTTAGGTTCCCCCATGGCACATCAGATGCAGATATATTGTAGTCCTGCCAGTATCGTAAGGTTTTATTGCTAGGATGCTCTGGTTCCACACAATTGCATCTGAAATGACAAAATAGTATCTTTTCCTTAGTAACAAAAGATGTACCAAATGGATCCAAATTATCAACATTATGACAAATTAGAATTGTGCTCCACTTTGCCATGTAATTTTAGTTTAAATGAATTCAGTAAATGCATGCTCTGAAGCAGTTTGGAGTTCAGTAGCTAGTGCTATTACTGGAGTAAAAGTTGCTGTGAGGTGCATATGCATATATAGTACGTAATGTGTTTAACATATTTAAACTACTGTCCATAGCATGTTTTCCACCTATTTTCCTCCTATTCTGATGCTTCTGAGTGCAGTTTTTAAATACTGAGAATGTGCCAGTCCTACTCCACTCCCCTCCTACATGGGGATTAGACACTGTGCACAGCTCCAAGCTGATACACTTCCCAAAAGCAAACTGTCTCTACTGTTTCATTTTCTTTATCGCAGTGCCTTAGCAAGAACACCAGACTAAGTGCCCAGTCAACTGCCAGAGCTCTGCAAGATCACCAGCACCAAAGGCACTGTGAACTTGTGTCTATTGTTTTTCCTCTCCCTACAGCTATGTTAAAAGCATGCTTTTCATTTTAAATTGTGTATTTTAACATGCAAAACATGAAGAGGCAGAGTGGGAGGACAGTACTGCAAAGAGGCAATTTGAAGAAAAAATTAAGTCTTTTAAGCCTCTGAAGGAACTGAGGGAGGCTTTTCCTTTGACAGAGACTTCAAAATATGCAGAATACTCTGCAGGTTCCAAGATGTCAAGTGTGCTTTGCAGTTCTCTTTAAGTTAATCCTACTTCAAAAATCTGTAGTACTATCTACTCTGCTAGTATTTTAACACACTTATGATAGCTGCAATTAAGTACTGCATTTCCTTTCATGATTCTCAGTCACTGGGTAAAGGATAAAATCTGATGATATAGCAGAGAACCATTAAGCACACATTAGTGTCTCATCACTTTTCTCATTTAGCTAAAATATCATTCTTTTTTCTGCAGACATCTTTCCACAAATCCAGGAGGACGATTCCTATATAAACTTGTAAAATTTTCTATACATAGAATTCTGTCATCTACATTTTGACTACAAAATAGTGCTATTGTATTTCCATTACAATACTATACATGTGACAAAATAGCTGCATTTAATATCTGTATACAGAGAGATGCAGGTTTTCTGTGTGCAACTCCTTGCTTTTATTTTAAATGCAGTTATTTATAAAGAAAGAAAAACCCTTTACAGCCCATGGACAAAAAACAAATAACTAAATAAAGCAATGGCATTCAGAAAAATAGAGGGCCTGAACCAAAAGCCACTGCAGTAGACTGGATCTTTCAAACAGACAATATGCTTTGGATCAGGCCCCAAGTGCAGAATAGATGCATGTTCAATGCGTAGTTTTAAATATTACAAAATAGGTTAAATGAAGTGCATCTCTAGCAGTGAGCTAAGGTAGCATAATAAGTCAATAAATGGTACGTCTGCATTATTACAAGAGAGTATTTGATGTTCATGCAACAATACAAGTGTGGCTATTTCAGGTTACTATTGTTTCCTGTGAGCACAGGAGCTCCCTGCCCCTGAGGTCCATCGCTGATCGCAGACAGGCCAGACGCTGGGCGATGGCCCACTGAGGTTTGATTACAGTAGGCCAAGGTAACGTGGGCTGTTCAATCACAGTCACTTCTTCCTCACTAGAAGGGAAGACTGTGCATGTCACCAACACTATATGGCATAGCTATACTTGCTGCAAACTGCAAATTTACATTTAGATAAGTCTCACAATTGAAGGTATAGTTCAAAACAGCTCAAGTAATTCAACTTCAGATGAGATCATCCTCTTGCTTATTGCTAGATCAGTACCACTTTCCTTCTTCAGAGTTTTCAAGTCTGGGCTATACCAAGTTTCATGGGCATTTACCAGCAGCAGTTCATTCATCATCAAGTACAGTAACTTGAGCAAACTCTGTCCATAATGACCAAAAACTTTACCTTGAATCTAGCTACTGCCAATACATGTAATTCTGTAATGATGAATATTTCCCAAAACAACTGACCTACAAAAAGAAACTCATACCAGAAAAGTAAGGTTTTCAAAAGTTTTAATCTCTTTTACTTTTTACTCTAATGGAGAGGTCAGCTCTCAGGAGAAAAATATACTGAATTGTTAACACAAACACATATTTCTATTTTTTGATCCTTATTATTCAAAAGGCTGACAAGTAAATACATATTGGCTCTTGAAGGTTCCAGTGTGCTTAAATCCTTGTAAAACTGTTTAAAGTGCTGAACAATTGCCAACTGCAGATCTATAGCAATGGACTAGAGACTACATATAAAGCTGTAAGCAACATACTCAGGTTCAAATAGACCAGGAACAACACAAAACATTTCCATGCTGTTTAGTGATAAGGAGTCAGTAATCACCTTTGCTATGGTAAAAGATAGGGAATGATTCTGGCCTTAAATGAATTATAATGGCCCTAAACTGCTAGATGGAAAAATAAGCATGGTAAGGAGTCTTTACTGTCTTTACATCTTCTACAGTGCTCAAGCAAATCAGGATGAGGAAGACAAGGACTTAAGCTAAACTTCTTCCCTTCTGTGTCCTCACATCCTCCTTACATTTCCCATTTTTCCCAGCAATTTTTGCTTTTGTTTCTTAAGTTATTTATTTTTAACTTGAGGCAGCCATTGTAACTTTACTATGCACAAAATTTTCAACATCTTAATCTGTTATCAATGAGCAGAGATAGGATTTAACAACAGAAGCTTCAGGTCATCTCAGATAACTAGCAGTGTTCTTCATTGTTCCCTAAAAGAAACAGTTAATACTATCACTATTAGCACCAAAAAGATGGCCTGTATGACTAATACAGGTTAGCAGATTATATTATATAAAAAGTTCTTCTCTTTTTTGTAGATCAGCAATAAAATTTAAACATCATTGTCATTCAGCAACTAGTCAGATGAAAGATTCTAGAATAAAACCACTCAATTCTGACTGTTTAACAAAAAAAAACCAAAAACTTGCTCCCTAGGCTTGTCTACTTGATTGAAATTAACATAGGTGTGGTTCAAGAATCCCTCTCATTTCCACCTCTCATCCCAATTCTTGAAGTTCTTTATTCTCCATGTGTTTATGAAGCTCCTAAGCCCACCACGTGCATCCTCCTACCCACACAGTGCAGCATGGTGCTTGCTCATTCTGCTGCCATCACAGACAATATCAAATGTTCAAACAAGAGTCCTTCACAGTGTTTTCCTGAGTAAATAAAAAATGCTCAACTGGTGCAACTCCTTTGGAAGACTCAGTCATTCCCATGCAACTGTCAATTTATAGTATTTTGTTTTCAAGGCTGGGAAGCGCTAACTACTAACAATTTTATTCAAGTTGCAAGGCTCAATTTACAGAGATCCTATTTTTCCCACATGCACATACCATAAGCTACACATATTAATATTAGATAAGACTTTGCTCTATAAAAGGTGCAACTGCACTTTCTTCGCAATTAGCTAATGTACCATTTCCCCTTTCTAGAAGAGGAAAATATTTTTGAGCTTGCTTTAGAAAGATAATGAGATTTGCTTAATATGAATATTTATATTATAAAAAAAAGCAGGCAAGTATGACGAATACATTACAAAATGTGCTTGTTTAAATAATATGTGTCATTGAATATCAGAACACATATTTGGTAATGAGTAGGAAGATTTTATCCTAAGAAACAAACTCTGCTTTACAAATACACTGCGCATTAATCACATAACGGACAGAATAAGAACACAGTAAGAAACGGAAGATAAATCACTAATTTCATTTTAAAAGCAAACTACTGGAATGTGCACATCAGGCTTGCTAACACTGCATTTAAAAGACTGAAGACAAGTCCAGTGTTATAATGCCATGCATGTTTATATTGTCTCCAAATACATACTATTTTTACCTGAGTCTTATGAGCACTGAAGAGTCCTTCTGTTTGTCTAACATCTGCTACACAAAAGTCACAACAGCATCACACTCGCATACCCTGCTGCCCCATATGTACAACACCTGTAGATCTGTGGCACTGTATTCACCATATTCCTTCTCATGTCAGCATTCATAATGATGAAACTAAAGTCTCAGTGGAGGAGAGACTGGAAGCAAAATAATTAATACTGATGGGAAATGGTCTTGTCAGTTAATTTCTATTCTCAGTATCATGAAATCCTTTCAAAGCACAGCTGTCAGGGCAAGATGAAATTATTTTCTTCATTTATTAATGAGATCTGCCATCCTGATTAAGACTATTGAGTCATTAAGTTAAGTAGTCTGTCTCTGACAATCTCAAACATGAGTAGACATCAAGTATATTCCATAAATTTTGAAGTATATAGAATTTAGTTGGAGAAGTTGAAGAGGAAAACAGAAAAGCCTAGAAAAGTATCTAGATAGCTCCACATCACTTCATACACATAAACAGAAACATGTATCTACATCAGACATCTGATATTACAGTGAAGAAATCACAAAGAATTTGGTTTCTATGAATAGTGTGTAAGAAGAAGATTGCCCCTCTAAGTGGAAAGTCTAGAAAACAGATTTATAATCAATACTGTAGTTTTGTTAGCCAAGCTTGTCTCTCATAAAGGCTGCTCTATCACCTTCCTGGTGCAGAGTGCAGACTATGCGCTTGTAAAAATATTATGCTATACATAGACTTCATCAGGAAGAAAGTCAGTGTTATTACGTGGGACGTTTCTTGTTTTGATATTTCATTTGAAAGCTTTCATTCAGAAATAATGCCAGGTTGTAATCTCACCCCACTTCCATATTGGGGAAAAATAATAATAAAATCAATACCTAAAGAGATACACGTGCTATGTGGTCAGCTTAATTTTTGATTGTTCAAGCATAGCATACCTATAAATATACTCTAACAAAACTATACAAGGATTGCATGCAAACTTTTCTAGATTAAGACTACACTGTGCAGAGAAGCTATTTGTTGTGGAGAATTGCTTAAAAA